CAGCAGTTCTATTTGAAACTAGTTAGTAGGATATATCTTCGTAACAAGGTTAATTAACGCTATAGAATAGGAATATATAGTACTTTTCGTTTCAAATATCAATAGATTATCTCTTGGTTACTTTTCATTCATACTCATTATTGATCATAGATAACATATAATAAAATCATTATGTTACACATTAAAAAAAAATTATAATAACAGAATAAACGAATTGTTATTAGTCACCAGATATTTATTAACACACACACACACACACACACAAAATTTACAGAAAGGTAGCACATGGTATTAGATTTAGAGGAAAAAGACAAATCCATTGAATGTATGGTAAAATATTCATAAAACTAATGTTGTACATCAATTATAAACTGAATATAGTTATTGTAGAATTATCAAGTTTCTACAGTGTATTCTAATGTTTATTTTTAATAACAGATGAATATTTCATATATATATTGAGTTCTTTTTATCATTTTGAAAAAAGCTAGAACAAAAAGATCCACTTAGAATAGCATGGTTGTCATCAGCTAGTTTACAACCTGTGATATGTAAAGGTGACAATTACATAATGGGTTTAAATGACTTACATGAGAGGATTTGGTTGGAAGTTATATTGAAGACATAGTAGTATAGTATAGCGAGGGGTGTAAATAAATTGAATAGACTGTTTACTGTAAATATATACAACTTATGTGAAATAGCATTCTACAACATTGATTTTAATATGAGTTCCACAAAGCTAGAAATAAGTGATTATATAATGAGTAAACGCTGATAGGAATATAGTGAATAGAGCTTAGTTGATAAAATAAGATTACTAATCTGGAATAAGCGAAGCGATGGAATACTCCAGATATGTTGATGACACGTTTATTGTCTGTAAGAAAAAACAGCATACAATCCACCTATTAGAACTCTTTAATAATGATCATCCTAAAACACAATTTACTATAGAACACAAACAAAATGACATATTCCACTTTCTTGATATTGCCATAAAACATAGGGCAGACGGGATAGCTCAACATTCGGTACATCGAAAAACTACTCGGAATGCAGTTTATCTGAATTTTAATAGTTTTTTTTTCCAATCAGTTACAAGAAAGCGTTGGTTAAAACACCATGTTTTAGGGTAGAATGGATATGTACTACCAATAAACTGTAATAAAAATTGATAAACGTTGAAAAATGCCTAAAATACAACTGTTACCCACAAAAGTTTATTGACAAATATAAAAAGCCTAAAGTAAACGAAACTGGAGTAATTACGGTCAATAAAAATTCAATATCTATAAACCTGAACTTCAAAGGTGATGATCTCGCAAACGCAACCAGCAAGAGGTTGAACACTGCATTAGCCAGAACCTACCCGGCAGCCAAACTATTAATTCTGTATAAAACAACAGAGTAAATAACTCATCCAAAGGTTGACAAGTACCCCTTTCATGTTACCGACAACTGTATTTATAAATTTGCATGTACCTGCCAAAGCAGCTAAATTGGCCGAACAGAAAGGAACGCCTATATTACATCCTTTGAGCATATTCCAGAAAGTCTCAGAAAAAGAGAAAGAAATACTCTAAACAGTGCAATCAACAAATATCTCTTAGAAACAGGACATCAAGTCCATACTTTGCAATCTTTCAAGGTGATTAGTAAGCAGCCAAACTCCAGTCTTTTGAAGTTTTCTGTCTGAGGTATTCCATCGTTTCGCTTATTGAAATTTTATTTCAACTACCTTCCAGATTAGTAATCTTATTTTATCAACTAAGCTCTATTCACTATATTCCTATCAATGTTTACTCATTATATAATCACTTATTTCTAGCCTTTTGGAACTCATATTAAAATCAATGTTGTAGAATGCTATTTCACATAAGTTGTATATATTTACAGTAAACAGTCTATTCAATTTTTTTACACCCCTCGCTATACTATACTACTATGTCTTCAATATAACTTCTAACCAAATCCTCTCATGTAAGTCATTTAAACCCATTATGTAATTGTCACCTTTACATATCACAGGTTGTAAACTAGGTAAACGAGATCCAGACGAAACGATATGCTATTCATGCTATTCTGGTAGAATTTTTGTATTTGCTCTTTTGAAAAAAATGGAATATGTATTTAGGTGCATATTAGTTTTGAATAAACAGATACCACATGTTTTTCTTTCAAATAAACGTTTCTAACCGTGACTTTCAATGGTAGAACAATATTTCTTCTATAAATTTAATATGAACTAAATACAAATGAAAGTTAACATATTGAGTAGCATATTGAATAATCGGTATATTTCATTCTATGTCACAATTATTAATAATTTTGAACGTTGAAACTGATTAGATCGAATGGATTGTGTTCAGTGTGTGTGTGTGGGGGGTGGGGGGGGGGGGATATAACTCTTTAGCTTCTTATTAATAAATTCCTGTCTTTTTTTTCAATAAAGTTGAATAATGTTCATCAATTCTCTTGAACTGAATTGATGTTACGATATACCTAGCACTATAGAAGGAAATGAGCTAATAAATATCTGTATCATATTCTAAAACTACTCATCAAATTATTGCCTTTCAATGAAATTTATATTTAAAGTTGAAAACAAACTAAACATCTAATTTCTAGATGTTGAAATATCAAGAAAACTTGATGGAACTTCAAGAAGATCTATTTCCAGAAAACACATCTACCAAGATTTCAGAGCTGGATCTTTGGAAAGGCGAATTATATCTCTCTTCGTAAGAGTTCGCAAACATAAAGTCTTAAAGAAGTATTAAACGTTCTATGGAAAATATTTAATGATAGTTGATTATTACAAAATTTATTGGTAATAGTATAAAACTAGGACAAGTTAAACAGGCAGTAACCCATGTACAAAAGAAAATCTTTTATAAAGATATACTTCACGGGAACTTTACGTTTTCGGTCAATTACTGTTTACTAAATAAGCTATCATATCTCAGTTAAGTCAGTTAATCTATTGATTTTACAAGTTATAAACATACACTAGAATAATCAATTAACAAATAGATGAATTCATTCAAACTTGTTGATTGATTGGACATTTAAAATGATAAATTATCATTAATATGAGGTTACTAATTTCTGGTCTGAACCATGTTGGTAAAAGCAAACTACTTGGTTTCGGTACGCGCGATTATTGTAGCCAGTGATTTGAGAGTCTGAGTGACTTGGTTAAGAATCAACCACAATGGTATAGTTGTATACAGTTTTTGTCTTCTGTCAAACTGTGAAATAAGAAACTAATTCCTGCGTTTTTTCTATGAACTGATTCTTTTTTCCTGTATCATGTCCTAATATGAAATGATTTTTACTATCATTAAAGTAACTAGTTATATGAACTTGGTTTTCATCTTGTAGTGCTAATAAGGTATGGTAAATTGTAGCAATGCAAATGTATGTGCATAGTCCTACGTTGTAGACGACTTACTAGGGATATCATTTAATTAATACTTGATGAATAAAGCATTCTTTTTCTAACGTTTAGCATATTCCCGTGCACTAGCATAACATTCTCATTTCATTAGAATAAACAACAGATAACTATGATAAGCATTTAGTTTAAATCAAAACACAGATAAACTAGTGTTGTTTTTCAAGTAATTATACTGCTCATCTATAAGGTAAGTGGAAATTCGTCAAATACAGAAAATTTTTTTTACCATTATCAAAACGTTTATCAGACATTTACGAAGGTCATTCTTACATTGACAAAAAAGGAACATTTAGTAAATTAGTATGAGAAGTGAGTTTTGTGGAGATTGTAGAAGATTTAATAGTTGAGATCATTAGTCAATGTATACTAGACAACTATCGAAAATCTGTAAGCACTAGACAGTCGTTTTATCCTATTGTGGGATTCCTCAGCAGTGCACATCTACGATCCCTACTTGCGAGATTCGAACCCAGGATATATCGCTCTCACGATTGAACGCATAACCTTTAGACCACTGAACCTGCCAGCATCCAACGGTGTCAATGTTTAACTTCAAATAATCCACGAAATCGAGAGACATATCCATCATTGTCCTCAGTGAGTTACTATCTTACAATAGGCCCAGTTGAAATCCATTGGTCACTGTTTCTCACTAGAACTCCAGGATATACCTTTTGTAGTCAGTCACTAGTAAACATATGTTGATGAGTATCAAAAGGGGTTTTTATGGATATCATAGTAATTTTAATGGTTGAAATCATGAATTGTTTTCTATAGTGGTCTCGCTTCAATTGACTCATAATCTCAACTATTCAACATTTCGTAAATTATCAGAAGGGATTTTATAGAATTGTCCCATACTAGAACGAAACGGCCGTCTAGTGATTTTAGATTTTTCCATAGTGGTCTAACTCTCATGATCTCAACTATTCAATATTTTTATAATTGATATAAAACCATAATAGCCCCCAAATGCCCTGGTACGGCCGAGAGTGGGGAGAGTCCGCTCTCCCTGGAAAAATGCTCTAACATGGCCACGCGTACATAGCCCCTGCCAGGGAAGTCCTACTCACTGCCTTCTCGTGGCACCGGTGTTGTTTACAAAAATGAGAGGACGAAAAGCGAATTTCCGGCGCTTTAAGCGGATCCCAAACCAATGGTGCACATGGGCTCCAGTATCCTGAAGGAACAAATGGCGTATGAACCAATTCGTTGGTCACCGGCTACCATGGGACTGCATCTCCTCACGATGCTCCACTGCCTTGTGGATCAGACGTTCAGGTCAAAGGCTCGGGGTGTGGCCCCCTAAGAAAACCACCTGCTTCGGTTTGGGCACCCGGGTAGTATCACAGCCCTTACACAAATCGATCGAGATTCGTGTGGCGCATATGTATTTGGTGCCTCCTTGTACCAATACCTATGTGTTAAAATAAATAAAAAATAAATAAAAACCATAATAACGATTTATTTCTAATCGCATATATATAATAGATTTCCTTCTTTTTTTATTTATTTATTTATTTTTCTAATATTTTAGTGGAGAGATCATTTCCACAATACCAACATTTGAAGATAATGCTATTCGATCTATGAAACGTGTTACAGATAAAGTACAACAAATTATGAATATTGATCAAATAGATAATATAAATGATTTAAATAATTCTATTAAATTATTACCTCCATTAGCTAATAAAATCAATATAAATAATCAATTAAATTCTATAAATACATCTATATTATCATCAGATATATCTGAATCTTCTATAATTCATTCTAATCATAGAACGAATAATAATAATAATAATAATGATTCCAATACTCAATTAATTTCATGTTTTCAACAATTATTCTATTATTTTATTGTAGCTTTTATTGTTTATAAATTATTAATTTGGTTTAATTTAAAACCTAATTTTGGTTAATTAATTCATATATATTCAACTAATTCATCATCTATACAATTGACCAATCAATATACAAGATAATCATAACAAAATAAAAACAACAACATTATATCATACACACAAACTCAGGATATAACAACAACAACAACAACAATATCACCACCACCAACACCACCACTAACAACAACAACAATCATGATCGATCATCGATCATCATGATCAATACTGATCATTATTGATTGTGTGAAATTTTTAATTCATTTAAATCTTATTCATTTTATATTTATTATTTAAAAGATTTCATACAATATCGATTGTTCCTATTTAATTATGGAATTATAATATAAATTATTATTATGATTATGTTTGTTAGGTATTGTAGATTCGATTTAATTTCTTGAATCCTTCTTTAAGACAAATCAATATATTGATTATTGATATTATTCTATGATTGTTTTCTTAAAGAAATGGGAAAACAAAAAAAAAAAAAAAGAAATCACAACATATGAATCGAATCTATTCCATATGTATTCTTTATATTGTTGTATAGATTATTCAATCATTATATTAATTAATTGATTATGTCATTAAAGTATATTCACATAGATTACTGTTCATTTGAATGAAATCAATAACCATAATTCTCAGTGTTATCATAAATGTATATGTATATGTATATGTAATTAACAATAGTGATTTATTATATTTTTGGACAATCAACTTCACTAACATTTGGAGGGTTTACATCAGTTTTACCGTTCAGGTTGCTTGGAGAAAGTAGATAACTGAAGAGTAACTGAAAGCCAGTTGAATTATTTGCTAAAACGTTCTGCCCATTGATTCCACTTCTCCTGGATTGAGATTGAGTAATAGTACCATGTTTTTCCGAGATAGTCATTAAAGTATATTCACATACATTACTGTTCATTTGAATGAAATCACTAATCATAATTCTTAATATAATCATATATGTATATTGTTTATGTATATGTAATATACAATAGTGATTTATTTTATTTTTGGACAATTAAATCTATTTTGTAATGATACTTATTATAAATAACAAGATACATAAAATACATTTCTGTGTATTATTCAGCATTTTGTTTTATCTCTTTATTCAAAACACATATCCATTATATTATGAACATATCAAGTGGATTAACTATTAGAATTATCTAAAACACAATGAATATATCTATTACATAATTGCCTTGATTAATTCAAACTGAATTATTACAATTTTATGCCTATTGATCATGGAGAATAACAAAAACAAAAAGAAAAATAGAAGAAAGAAAATGGCGTTGATTCGCTCACAAAAAAAAAAAATGAAATATATTCAACTGGTTTGTATTCATTTCAAATGTCTTTTAATTTTTTTTTGTTTTCTTCTTTTCTCTTCTCTATCATGGTGTCCATATGTCATGGAACAGATAGAGAGAGAGAGAGAGGGAGATAGGGGTGGGGAGAAAGTGAGATAAATCAATCATATCACATTTTAACTCTATTTTTACCCTACATCATCATCATTAACATCAACACAACAACAACATCATGTTCATCTTCCTTCATATTACATATACATACTTTCTTGTTGTTGTTGTTGCTGTTGTCAACGTTGTCGTTATTTGTGATAACTGTAATTGATTGCATAATATTTCTAGATGATTTAAATGATCATCTTTTAATCCTTAACAATTACCAGTAGTATTGATTTGGTTATCATTTTCTTATTGTCAAAGAATAAAAATGAATTAATTATTTTTATTGTAATTTTTATTTTTAATTTTCATTTCATTTCAGAGTATTTTATCATTTTGTTTTGTTTGTGAAAGAGAAAGAAAACAAGTACACTGATAATCATGTATTTACTAATGAAGGTATAATAATAATAATAAGAATAAACTATTGAATGATTTTCTCTTTCAATAAACCCCCTTTTGATTACGTAACATTTTGAATGATTGAAATTGAATTAATGTTTCTTGTTTTTAATGATAAAAACTTACTGTATATTGATTTCATATATGTTTACTTAATATTAGTATAATATATTCTGATTATAATGTGTTGTTTATAATTGAAGTGAATGAAAATATAAATAAGGAGAATTCAATGTATTTGAATATATAAAAGAAAAGTACAGAATCTTTTAGTAGAATTTGAAAAACCATACAGTAAATACTTTATTAGGAACATGTTAATCCATCATCTTAGACTTAATTGTTCTTTTGTTTCTACATAGATCATTCTCTGTTGTTATTCTTATTCTATTTGATCTTCTTAACTTTCTTCTGTCAGACATTTCACTTTCAATTGATGATACATACTCTTTATAACTGTCGACATTAGTAGCATACATTACAATATGAATTTGAATAATCTTTATTGTAGTAAACTGACATCAGTTGAACAGATATTAGGATTTAGTAAATCTCGGCGCTTTAGCCGGTTTGATGGACACAGAGAGTATGAAGCAATTATTGGTGATCGGTTACCATGGGAATGCATCTTGTGTTGTTTCTTCATTACCGTTGTCAGATACCGGCTCAGTGGTCTAGAGTTCATACACGAGACCGATAGGTTGTGGGTTCAAATCTCGCGGACGGGATCATTGATGTGTACTAGGAAGAAATGACAATCCAATGCTTCCGGAATTTTACATAGTGATGTAATTTCAATTGACTCATGAATTCAACCATTAAATTACTAGATTCTCCACAAAACCCTCTTTTGATAACTTATTCGTTAGAAATTCCAGTCATCTGATCAGTCACATTAATTTATCATTAGGCTGATTTATGATTGGCCCAATATGTTACCAATTATTCTCAAATAATGTTAAATTACGTCATACTAGTAACAACTGTAGATGTTGACAAAACACTGTAATAGTAACCAAATAAGTGATAGATGTGTCATTTAACGATTTGAAGAGGTAATTGGCTCACTACATATCTTTACCAGTTTAAATCTAATGTTTCTAAAAGATTTACTAAAATATATCTTGAAGTTTTAGGGTATTGTACCAGAAGAAAAGTTTTTATTTCTGATTAGTCCAATATTATTCATTAATGGAACTAAATCTATAAGAGCAGTTAACTTGACAGTAAGAGTTCCCTTCTTTTACATAGTATATTCACTGTTTGCCATATAGGGAAAAATAGAATTTCATGGATTTGGTAACACCTTTTCTATTAATCGATTCCATATAATGATTGATTTCTGTTGTGTGCTAGTGAACTACCTGCCAGGTTTATTTGTAGTTCTTAATCAGTTAATTTAATCGAGTGTATAACATGTACAATTATTGTGATCTATTGATTTAATGCATAATCTGGTTTTGAGTAACATTAAGAATGCTACTTGGCAGTCGTTAACAAGGTGTACTTGTAATCTTGAAAGAACGGATGCTTCCTGACGGATTCCATTCCATGTCACCTAGCTTTACAGTCAGAGACGTTACCACCCACAACCAATATATTATCTCAACATAGTGCACGCAATGTCGAGTCACCTAGACTGGTGGCCACATTGCAACTTGGCCGATAGGATTTGGTCTGCACTAATATAGGCAGCTATCGTTGAAAAAAAAAGGTGACGGAGACATCTAAACCATTCCTATAAAAAATCCAGAGGAACCTTGAAAACATTGAGAAACATCTTGTCCAATCAGTATTCGATAGAAGTTCCTCAGGAACATCTAGGAAGTGAACAGTCGTGTACGTCTACCTATTCTACTACGATGTTTAGTATGGTTCCAGAAATGTAAAACCATCTGGAATACTATTATTATCTTTAATTCTCTGTACATAAACTAACCTTTGAGTAGAGCATTCTTTTCACACTTCGACTATTTTCTCTCGTATTCAAGTTAATCTGTAGATTTAATCTGAGGTTTATTAGAAAAACTTAAGTAATCGATTTAACTGTTCAATAAGAAAACTTATTATTATTATTCATAATGATTATAATAAAACAAGAGATTACAATAAATCCATAACATAAAACTAGAATAAAATCATTAAAATGAAATAGAAATCTCCTACCCCTTCCTCCCCCCCTCTCTCTCTCGGTAAACCCAATAACTACCAAAAAAAATATTAAAAAAACAACCAACGAAAAAACCAAACTATTCAACAATGAATAAACACAGAGACATATTTATCATCAAAAAGACAAGGTCTAGTAGAGAACCCTGTCAAAAATAAGTTTGTTTATTTTCAACAAAAAAAAGAAGAAAGAAAATATCAATGGGACTACAAAAAAAAACAAAGAAAAAAAATCGAAATGAAATAAAAGAAAAAAAAGAGAAAACAAAGTTGGGATAAATAACATTGAAAATAAAAACAAAACAAATGAAAATTACTATTTAAATATAGAATACAACATGAATTATACTCATAAATGTTATCGTCTATTAATTGTTTCTGTGTATAAAGAGAATTATAGATGGAGAGGGAGAGAGAGTGTGTGTGTGTGTGACTAGTGGAGATGGTGGTGGTGGTTGTGGTAGTAATGGTGCTGATGATATTCATCTTATTTATACATTATAATATAATCTATACACAGAAAATGAGCATTTAGATCTATATATTTCTAAGATATTTAAATATAAAGTTAAATAAATTGAAAGTTTACTTCATTGACTTACTTTCTGTAATGATATGTATAATAATTTAAGAGTATAATACAAATCAGGAATAATAATAATAATAGTAATAATGACAATAGTATTACTCACTTTATTCAATATCAAACGTTTAGTACAATGGGGGGGGCATAGGATAAGTGTTAGTGAGTTAGTAGTGTATCTACTTTTCATTGTTCAATACAATATTCAACATTGAGTGAGTGAACATTATTTTTCCTTTTATGTTTAATATAGAATTCATAGCATAATAATATATAATATATATATATATATATATATATATATATATATATATATATATATATATATATATATATATATATATATATATAGAGTACAACATAGTAGCAAATATGATAATGTATATCACATCATGAATTCCATAGTTAAACTGCTAAGTTTGTCAGCTTCATATGGGGTATTCTGACTTCAGAACAGATTGATTTATTCATTGATTTCAAGTTATATTTTAACTTTGTTAATTATTCACTTGTTAACCTTTGACTATTTTTATATGAATGTATTTGTATGTATGTAGTGCTTATCTGACTAATAAATATTGAGTTATGCTTGAATTCAATCAACTTGACTTGTTCAGTTTCTCCGCTTTGCTTTCCTTTTTCTTATAATTTATGTTTATCTGAATAAACAAATGCTTAAAATAAATTTATCCAACACAACCCGCATATGCCTTCCTCTTGTTACTGTTGTCATATACATACGGTTAGACTAGATAATGGGAGATATATGTGTATAGCATATTTGTATATTCATCCAAATCGGAGTAATCATCAACAGGTCATGGTACAAGAGGTCAACAGGTAGATCAATTTATTGATCTTCATTTTAAACATATATATACATAAACATTGATAACTATTTCATCATTTTGATAAGTGATATGTTGTTATTGGCTTCATGTAAATTAATATATATATATATATATATATATATATATATATATATATCAGGTATGCTGAACAAACAAAATCAGAATCTTCAATACGACCGTCGGGACAGTTCTACTGTACGGAGCTGAAACATCCAGAACTACTACAACCATCATCAAAAAAGTACAAGTACTTATAAATAGCTGTCTACGCAAGATACTCAACATCCATTGGCCGGATACCATCAGCAACAGCCTTTTATGGGAGAGAACAAACCAACTTCCAGCTGAACAGGAAATTAAGAAAAGACGATGGAAATGGATAGGACATACATTACGAAAGTCACTAAACTGCATCACGAGGCAAGCCCTAACATAGAACCCTAAAAGGAAGCGGAATAGAGGAAGGTCAAAGAACATATTACGTCAAGAAATATAAGCAGAAATGAAAGGGATGAATAACAACTGGAAAGGATGGACCAGAGTTAAATGGTAAGTGCTGGTGAGCAGTCTATCCTCCTCCACGAGGAGTAACAGGTGTAAGTAAGTAATGTTGAACAAAACAGGAGAGAAGATAACATGTGTAGGGTACTTTGAATTCACTCAAATAATTATAAGGAATACAATAATTGTTTAATGTTATTTATTAATTGAAACTTTAAAATTCTTCAATATGATTTACTGGAAATAAACCTTTTTTATTATTCACTTCACCATACCACCAATCCGAGTTAACTTTACGATAAATACTAATAATATCACCTAAAATAAGAGAAAATTATACAAGAATGTGATTAGATAAATATGTAAGAAAAAAAAGCGCAGTGTCATATATATATATATATACATTATTGAATTGTATTAGATTATGCTTTCAATGTTGCCTTTGTCAGTCAGCTATAATGTAGGATCAGGGACATATATGCATCGGTTCAAGTTGCCATACCTAATTAGCACAACAAGATCAACACCAAATTCATAGAAGTAGTTACTTCAATGGTAGTAATGTATAAAAGAAAGATTGCATATAAGGATATTGTACAGGAAGAAAGAATTCATTAGTAGAAAGAAAGATATAAAGCAATTTTAATCTCATAGTTTAAAGGGAAGACAGAGAGTGTAGACACCGACGCCATTGTGATCGATTCTGAGCCATGTCACTCAGAGTATTTAACCATTGGTTATGATAATCGAGTGAACCCCAAACAAATAGTTTGCATTTATCAACATGGCTCAGATCAGAAGTCAGTGACTTCAAGCACTGATACCACGTTTTGGTTTGACCACCCCTAATTTTCTTCCAACCGTTTCCAACACTAGTCACCGTTGCGCGTGGTGGTAATCGGTGTTGAGGCATATGTAACACATGGCCCAACCATTTCAGTCAATGAAGATTCACAACCTCATCAACTGATTTACAATCATTATCTAATACACTGAATCTAACCTCACTATTACTTATCCGGTGATTCCAGCAGATGCGAGCAATATTTCTAAAACATCTATGGTCAATGCTGCTTACTATTCTCTTATACCGGTTCTGTACTAAGCGAATAAAGAATAATAGTTTTTTTTTCAAAAGTTTTAATGATTTTATTTGTAATACTTAGCTAGCAGTAAAACATTAGTAGATGCATTTTATCCGATTTCGAACTCGTCAGTTGAGTGTACTTAACTCATTATAGTGGTAAATTTCACACTGGTGATTGTAATTAAAGCATCTTTTACTTGAAACAAAGCCAGATCCAACTGCTAAACAGCTGGTAAACGCTTACTGGACTCTACTGCTAGCTACAATCAGACAATTTTATAAAGAAAATTGTGATTGAGAAAAAAGGTTATATCGGGGGAAATTGTATAGGATGCATTTATGTGCCAATAAAGACTGGTAAAAAAAAATCAAGGCATGAATATCCCAAATATGATAATTCAAACCTTTACTACCATTGATATTAGTGACATTTTTCTATTTATGATATTCATTTTGTATAGTTTGTTTGAATCTCCCCGTTGTTGTTTAAGACTGCAATTGGTCAGTCACTTATTGATATATGTGCATCCTGTGAGGATTGTCTCGATATTGCCTTAAGTCATAAGCATTATAAGCAAAGATGGATGGTGAATAGCAGCAGAATCTAGGACGCGCGTTTCGTCCGATTTGGGATGCGTTAGCTGTATGTACTTTCAATCTAGAGTCGATGTTTATTCCAGGACTCGGACGTAGTACCGATCGCTGCAAACGCCATCGCGTTATTCGCTCAGCTACTGAGTCCTGATAGCCACTAATTTGTGCAGTGCGGTGAAGTCTAAATTAACTTGGTGTTGTTTCTTCGAATCTTTCCATTGATGTTAGTACTGTAATTGAACAGTTTCTGGGCTCGAATCCCGGAATGGACATCAACACTGGGATGCAGGTAGATCCAGCTGATGATCTCAAAGCACTGTATGACCGTTTGTGTTTTAATATAGGTCTCCTCAGTGACAGTGTATCTTTCCAAATATCCTTATATACTAATTAAAAAATCATTGGTATTTACTTGATGGTGTTAGATAATTGAAAAAAAAATAGTATTTCAATAGATGAAGAGATGACAACTACAGTTAGACGAAAATTTTCATCATTGTATGCTTTTATTCACAGAGATATCGGTATTTTATTCAACCGATAACTGTCATATTTAATCAATTAGTTTCATTTACATAAAATATGGTACGACAGGACCCCCAAACTAGTATTTACTACACCAAATAATTCTGTGTGCTAACCGCAATGTTGTTATCTGGGTGAACAGAACAAAAGAGATATCTTTTTACAATAGCCACTCTCAGATTTATCGAACTAAAGGTCTGAAGCACAAAGCGGTAGAGCATCTTCAGGGAATGCAGTTTCAGGGTAGCAGGTGGCTAAGAATAAGTCTGTAGGCTATTTTCTCCCTCAAAAGCCCAGAGCCGAAGGACACTACTGCTTAGAAGTTAGGATGTTACAACTCGTATCTACCGATCCGGTTATAGAACCGGACATGTTGTTTACAAAAATGAAAGGATGAAATGTTAGTTTTGCTATAGCAATAATAAATGAAAATAAATATATAATGAGATTACCTTCTTGTAAATGAATTTCAGTAGAATTGCGAGGTAGATAGTTTCGTTGAACTTTGGCCCAACCTAAACAATGCAAATTGGAAGAAGATCCAACTTCTAGATTCAAATCTGAACTGTTTTTCTCCAAATTATAGTTATTGGTCACAATTGAATCAGTGTTAAAATGAACTGATTTACATGAAGAACTAGGTCCACTATCTATGGAACCAGTATTACCTGAATCAAGAGAGGATGAACTATTTGGAATGTTTACAATGCGTAAACATGATGGTTCTGATATTTCAGATTTGACAATCACTTTTCTAGATGACGAATTATTAGTGTTGCGGTGAGATTTGATATTATGTTCAGATTTGTTATGATTAGATTGTTGTTTGTTGTTAGATGATCCACGTAATCCATGGCTGAGACGAGACCAAAATGAATTAGTCTGTACAAAGAATTTAAAGAAGGTATATATATATATATATATATATATATATATATATATATATAAACAGCAAGGCCAAGAATGGCAAGACTATAATTGATGGACGAATCAATTAGTTTTAGGATAACAGATCTTGGATTTGGCACGAAACGCATTCATGCCATTTGACACTTTAGCTGATGTCAGTTCGTGATGAAAACCCTAAATCTAATTCCTAATCCTAATCATGAACTGTAAATCACAATCTTTATTTTTCCCAAAGGTTTATAACCCTCATTATCAAGGTCACTTTGGCGTCCGTCAAATATCGTCCATAAATTATAGTCCCACCCGAGGAATAAATGACTTAATATACAATTAAATATATAAAACATGTAAACTGGTGTGAGAATTCAGTTGATTTGTACAAAACAATTGCTAGGCAGTCAAACAGTCATAACATTTGTAATAGTGAGTCTCAAGTGCTTTTGGAAGAATGAAACTGAAAATAAACAACTAGATGGTAGATTCAACTGAAAATGTAATCGTCCAGATATAAGTAGCATGTAGCACTAATCTGAGGAAGAATACCTGGCAGCATAAGATTGAAATGAAGTGAACAGGAAGGGAAATACAGAGCAATTGTAACAGTAACAGTATTGGAAGAATCATGAAGCCCGTACAGGATAACAGAAGGAAATTGTGCAAATAATGTACTTGGTGCATGGTTTTCATATTTTACGAAGGCACTCTGTTATTTTGAATTAAACAATGAACTGGTTTCTTCCACCTGAATTCCCGTTCACTACAACCAGATCATCAGTATTCATGCGACTCCCAAGATAAGTGGGGCGGATAATGCGTTCACTACGTATCATAAATTTAGGCGATGACGCAAGCCAATCCGGAAGTAACATTTTAAGTTTGGAGCGAGAGAACCACATCCCAGACATGTTTGCATTGTTGCTTAAAGTAATCAGAAGACTGGATTTTGTCAGTCTTCACCAAACGAAACTATATCATCTCCTTATTCTAAGTCAAAAAATGCATTTCCTGGCAGAAGATCAACCCCTAAAAGTCAGCCTTTGAAAGTTTTATGTCTAAAAGCATGTCAATCTCAAAGCTAAATGAAAATGGGGAAAGCGGATAACCGTGACGAACACCACTTGAAGAAACCTATTTCGATGACAGTTTGCCTTAGGCTCCAAGTCGATCAGCAGTGTTCCAGTAGAGAGGTTATTGTACATACTTAGTACACACTGCCACAGAACCTCAAGATCAACGGAGCCGAACGCAACCTTGACGTCAAGGAATAAAACTATAGTCGGACACATAAAGGTATTTCTACGTTCCAGAATCTGCAAAAGTGTAAATATTTAGTCAATACATCCATGTCTAGGTCTGAAACCACCCTAGTTTGCACTTCACGAGCTGCAATTAGACTTCTAAGTATTATTTAGGTTAATATTTTAGACAATATATTAGTTAAACTCATTCATCTGTGATTATCACAAGAGGACTTCTGTGCTTTCTTATTAATTGAGACGTCCAGTGATTGAGACTAGTCAGATAGAATTAGGTCCAGTTTCCAGAGTTTGGTCAAGATTTCAGTTAATCTAACTGCTAAATCTGGACCGAAATCTTTAAAAGTCTCAGGGGATAGCCCATTAGGCCTTTCTTAGCTTTAGAATAATTATAGCTTGTTCAACCTGACTAACATTTGGAGGGTTTACATCAGTTTGCCGTTCAGGTTGCTTGGAGAAAGTAGATAACTGAAGAGTAACTGAAAGCCAGTTGAATTATTTGCTAAAGCGTTCTGCCCATTGGTTCCACTTCTCCTGGATTGAGATTGAGTAATAGTACCATCTTTTTCCGAGATGGTTCCACAAACATGAATTTTTAATACCCATTTCATTTATATGTTTGAACAGTTGTCTACTGTTGTTTATCGCTTCTTCCTTTTTCATCTCTTCTTTTGCTATCCATCACTGCTCATGATCATTACGTAAGCTTTCTACCAGCATACATTTAAGTTGCCTCGCTCCTTGTCGTGTTTTGAGCCAGACGATATACGTTTCGGAGCATCTATCAGTTCTGTAGACACCATTGAAATTCAATGATTGTTTCTAACCTTTTGCTTTAAGTTTCTAAAAGATAACACTGATGTTTCCAAAGCTTTTTGGATATTACACTAAGCCATCAATTTTAAGCCATGTCAACCAATATTTCCAAATATTGATCAAGGTTATTTCCAGGATCCTGACCAAGTAGTCTACATCAATCTAAATAGCTTAGATCAATAGTCAATAATCATATGAGAAGATCCAACCTTTTGGTTTGAACATCTCTAACTTTTTTTTCAAACAAATCCTACGTCGGCTAACATTGTCTATTGAAGAAGATGGTTGTTGAGTGGGCTAAAAAAAGCAATTCATAAAAAAAATATACACAAAATACATTACATGTAGTAAACTTAACAAAAATGTTACCACTACTACTGACTGTTAAAATTTCTTTAGAATTTTCAGTATTTTCCGGTGAAATAGATGATGAATAAAGAACTGACGATATTGATGAACAATGTTTGTCTATAGAATCTTCAGTATCAATTTCATCAGTTGCTAATGGTACAATTGGTTTATGAGAATTTATTGAATGATCAAGTATTGAATGTCTGGAAATACTGTTAGTATTATTTTTAATGATACCTAAATTATTATTCATAGTAACCATATCAGTTTGTTCAGATTGAATTTTGCATGTTTCAGGTGATCGCTTTCTAGAAACTTCTATGTTGGAAGATTGCTTGATTACAGAGAATCGATTATTCCTTTCTAATGATTTATCATTATTACTAATATCAATACTATTACCATGAAAAGGTTTCTTTAATGATTGATTAGATTTTTCAATTATGTTACTATTGAGTATATTGTTGGTTGATATGAATGAAACTGACTTTTCTGAACAGGTAACACTTCGTTTAATTGGAGATTTAAACTGATTATGCATTATTTCATGAGGTATATGTTGATATTTATCAGTTATACTATTGTTATTGGATGTAACAGTAAAATGTGCATGACTCAACGTGTTTGCATTATCGATATCATAGTTACCATTGCTATTATTCATACAGTCTAATATCCAAGACGATTGTGATTTAAGTTGTTCACGAATCTTTTCAATATCCAATTGAAATATATTATCATTCACATTTTCATGTGCTATATCTTCTACAGGAAATGGAGGCCATTCTAAAGAGAATATAAAAGCAAGAACAAATAGCAAGTAGATTTTGCAAATATCAAAAGTTATGTGATGATACAGTTTGTTAGTAACTAATAGCATTTAAACATTGAAGGATAGAAAGTATTAGATAGTTCTTTTGTTCTTGGTCAAAAATATTTATTTATTTAAACATGTTAACATCGGTACAAGGGAGTATCAAATATAGGTATGCACTACACATCATCATTCAATTTGTGTGAAAGCTGGGATACTGCCCGGTGCCACTCCCCAAGGATTTGACCTAGAGGTTCAATCCACAAGACAATGAAGCAACGTTAGAAGATGCAGTTCCATGGTAGTTGATGACCAACAATAGGTTCATATGCCATTTCTTTCCTCAGGATCCTGAAGCCCATGTGCACCACTGGTTTGGAATCACGGTTTTCCAACTCCCCTAGATGAATCCTCCACCAACTCAATTAAAGTGCTGGACATTCTCTATCCGTCCTCCGCCGTGAGGAGGACCTCCGTGGCAGTGGCTACATACGCGTGGCCATGTCAGAGCATTTCTAGAGTGAGAGCTGACTCTCCCCTATCTGGGACATACCGGGACATTTGGGGGCAACAAATGAATATATGAACAAACTTTTGGACTAAATCAGAGATGTTTGATTATTTCGGACAACGAATTCGAACTGAACATTGGCGTCAATGTATCCTGTTCATCAGTTTTTAATCAGTTATATTATCAAAGTCAGACATCTAAATCAATTAAAATTATTGTAAACTTTTTCAAACAAGCGTAAGGACTTCAATAGGGCAAGATTTTAGTCATTCATACGTAACGTTCAACCTCGTAAATATATGTACCGATTCGAATTGTTACGCCACTTTAGAACACCAAGATAGAGTCACCAAGACAGAATGAAGAGTGGTCGAAGTAGTAGTAACAGTTTCAGTGAATGTGCACGGCTGAGAGTTCAGTGCATCCAGGTTTTATATAGCTGTCTAACTTTGATTGCTTCATGATTTCAACAGAATGGTTATATGCTCAGTCTTTTTTTAATGCTAGCAAATATCATTGCTACAAAAACTTATCGATTTCCAATCAACAATTATTTAAAATCAATTCTAACTGACATGTCACAAATCCAAGTTACAAATCTAACGAACGTTTAACTTATAAGAAAGAAAGTATAATCTAGATCCTGTAAGAATTCGTGAATTTCAACAACAGGAAACAAGCAACTGAAAAAATTTTCCCCAACAACGTTCCAAGTCTAAATGATTTAGGGTTTGGGGAGATAATTGATATATGTAGTTTGCTCCACATAGAGACGAAGATATGAATTGCTAAGGAATTCCATAACAGGACAAAAAAAATTGGTCGGTAACATCGTGATTATTTAACCAGTAAGTCAGCGATTAGAAAAATCTTCACAATAATTTGCCATTTAATATATTTCATACAGATCATACTGTTGAAATACTAGGAGCGTTGAAAGTAGTTGACAAGTAACTCCAGTTGACCTACCTTTTGTGCTAGATGGGTACATGTCAGTATGTGATCAACACTGATGTCAAGTGTAGCAGCAACTCACAAGCTACAATGCTTTGACTACGCTCTGCGAATGGCTCAGCAATTCTACCTACGGTACACGACAACTCGCGGTCAACCTGGGCAACCGACGACGGTATTGGTGGACGTTCATCATTGCTGATGTTCCCACAGCCATACTAGGTATTGATTTCCTACAACACTACGAATTGCTAATCGATTCACGTAGGCTGCGGCAAATTGATACTTCGTCGAACAGCAATTTCATGGGCTTCAAAGCTCGCACAAGCGCGTACCGAACCCTAGGCACATTTTATTCGCGTGACGATAAATTCCACGCTTTATTCGAGAAATTCCCCAGATTAACTAAACCACTTGAGGAGATTTAATCGGTGACTAGTCGTGTGGTACACCACATAGTCACCCGCGGACCCCCAGTCAGGGCAAGACCACGCCAACTGGCACCGGACAAATTAGCCTTCGCTAAACGTGAGTTTGACAATATACTATCTACTGGTATTATTCGTCCTTCTCACAGTCCCTGGGCCTCACCTCTTCACATGGTGCGCAAAAAGGATGGGGTTAGTTGGAGACCATGCGGTGACTACCGTGCATTAAACGTAGGCAGATACCCCATCCCCCACATACACATCACGGCATCGCTCAAGGGCACGACTATCTTTTCTAAGATCGATCTAGTACGAGAATATCATCAGATCCCAGTCGCTCTTGAAGATATCGAAAAAACCGCTATCACGACTCCTTTCGGTCTGTTTGAGTTCCCACGAATGCCATTTGGATTACGGAATGCTGCTCAAACTTTCCAAAGTTTTATCGATAGCATAGTAAGAGACCTGGATTTTGTTCATGTCTTTATTGATGACCTGCTAATCGCATCATCAAACGTAGATGAACATTATCAACACCTAACACCATTATTCCAACGCCTTTCGGATAATCGAATAGTAGTCAACCCAGACATGTGTGAATTGGGCAGATCGGAAATAATGTTTTTGGGTCACATCATTGAGCAAGAGGTTATTTTACCTTGCGAGGACGAAGTACGTACAATAATGGAATACAACGTGCCGTCCTTACTCAAGGAACTGAAGGCATTTCTCGGTTTGGTTAACTTCTACCGACGTTTCATCCCTCACGCGACAGAACGGTTACGACCATTAACCGATTTACTTCGCGGTAATCCACGCAAATTAGAATTGAACGATACCGCACGTACTGCATTTCCAGAGATCAAAACGGCTCTGGCGCAAGTTACACTCCCCGCTCATCCTGACCCATCAGCCACGCTTAGCATAGCGGTTGATGTATCGGATTTTGCTATAGGAGCCGTTATGCAACAGTACATCTCCAGTAGTTGGCAGCCTCTGGAATTTTTCCCACGACGCCTTACTCCCACGGAGACGAGATATAGCGCTTTTGGTCGCGAGCTGCTAGCAGCCTACTGAGCCATCAAACATTTCCGGCACGCAGTAGAAGTTCGCAATTTCGTCTTATTTATCGACCACAAGTCCTTAACGTATGCCCTGCATACCAAGTCTGACCGCTACTCACCACGAGAGTGCAGACATTTGGACTATATCTCCCAGTTCACGACAGACCTTCGTCACATTAAAGGCGAGTCGAACTATGTTGCCGACGCTTTATCACGTGTCCAAGCGAATTCAGTTACTTTACCGGTGCTCGATCTTCCTGCTATGGCTGCCGCTCAAGCAAATGATCCTTTTTGTACAGAAGCACCACATTCTACATCCCTTCAGTGCCAGGAAGTACCCCTAGCTACTAGCTCAGGTAGAAGTATCACATAGGTTCCTATGTAGGACCATTGCCACCATCGCATGGGTATGATCACATACTCACGTGCATCGACTGTTTTACAAGATGGCCCGAAGTTATTCTCATCACATCTATTACGGTTGAGACAGTTGCTCACCGCTTCGTAGAACGATGGATAGAACTGTACGATTGTCCCTCGACCGTCACGACTAACCGAGGACAACAATTCGAGTCCGCATTACTCTCCTCACTGACCCGGCTGCTTGGTACGGAACGCATACGCACTACCGCCTACCACCCGGCATCAAATGGTTTAGTTGAACGGTTTCATCGCCAACTTAAAAGTGCTCTTCGAGCACACGAAAACGATAATTGGTACGAAACCTTACCGCTCGTCCTCTTAGGTATCAGAACGAACTTGAAAGCAGATATCCAATGTTCCGCCGCTGAACTTGTATACGGCACGACATTGCGTCTGCCTGGGGAATTCTTCACACCGCGGAGCAGTAACGATTTCGGTAAATCAGACTACGTCCATCGACTGTCTGCATTTATGCGAACACTGTCTCCTGACGAACTCGACGCGGCCATGTCGATCAACCTTGAAGGTCTTTCCGTGACGAGAGATCACGTAAAAATGTCCTTCATAAGGCTGTTGCAGAGGCTTGCGTACCGAATCTACACGTATGAAAACATGTGAACTGGTAGATAACTCTCGAGGTAGAGCGACCTGTTGATGTTGTATTCGAGTTCGTCAGGAGACAGTGTTCGCATAAATGCTCTACCTCGAGAGTTATCTACCAGTTCACATGTTTTCATACGTGTAGATTCGGTACGCAAGCCTCTGCAACAGCCTTATGAAGGACATTTTTACGTGATCTCTCGTCACGGAAAGACCTTCAAGGTTGATCGACATGGCCGCGTCGAGTTCGTCAGGAGACAGTGTTCGCATAAATGCAGACAGTCGATGGACGTAGTCTGATTTACCGAAATCGTTACTGCTCCGCGGTGTGAAGAATTCCCCAGGCAGACGCAATGTCGTGCCGTATACAAGTTCAGCGGCGGAACATTGGATATCTGCTTTCAAGTTCGTTCTGATACCTAAGAGGACGAGCGGTAAGGTTTCGTACCAATTATCGTTTTCGTGTGCTCGAAGAGCACTTTTAAGTTGGCGATGAAACCGTTCAACTAAACCATTTGATGCCGGGTGGTAGGCGGTAGTGCGTATGCGTTCCGTACCAAGCAGCCGGGTCAGTGAGGAGAGTAATGCGGACTCGAATTGTTGTCCTCGGTTAGTCGTGACGGTCGAGGGACAATCGTACAGTTCTATCCATCGTTCTACGAAGCGGTGAGCAACTGTCTCAACCGTAATAGATGTGATGAGAATAACTTCGGGCCATCTTGTAAAACAGTCGATGCACGTGAGTATGTGATCATACCCATGCGATGGTGGCAATGGTCCTACATAGGAACCTATGTGATACTTCTACCTGAGCTAGTAGCTAGGGGTACTTCCTGGCACTGAAGGGATGTAGAATGTGGTGCTTCTGTACAAAAAGGATCGTTTGCTTGAGCGGCAGCCATAGCAGGAAGATCGAGCACCGGTAAAGTAACTGCATTCGTCTGGACACGTGATAAAGCGTCGGCAACATAGTTCGACTCGCCTTTAATGTGACGAAGGTCTGTCGTGAACTGGGAGATATAGTCCAAATGTCTGCACTCTCGTGGTGAGTAGCGGTCAGACTTGGTATGCAGGGCATACGTTAAGGACTTGTGGTCGATAAATAAGACGAAATTGCGAACTTCTACTGCGTGCCGGAAATGTTTGATGGCTCAGTAGGCTGCTAGCAGCTCGCGACCAAAAGCGCTATATCTCGTCTCCGTGGGAGTAAGGCGTCGTGGAAAAATTCAGAGGCTGCCAACTACCGGAGATACTGTTGCATAACGGCTCCTATAGCGAAATCTGATGCATCAACCGCTATACTAAGCGTGGCTGATGGGTCAGGATGAGCGGGGAGTGTAACTTGCGCCAGAGCCGTTTTGATCTCTGGAAATGCAGTACGTGCGGTATCGTTCAATTCTAATTTGCGTGGGTTACCGCGAAGTAAATCGGTTAATGGTCGTAACCGTTCTGCCGCGTGTGGGATGGAACGTCGGTAGAAGTTAACCAAACCGAGAAATGCCTTCAGTTCCTTGAGTAAGGACGGCACGTTGTATTCCATTATTGTACGTACTTCGTCCTCGCAAGGTAAAATAACCTCTTGCTCAATGATGTGATCAAAAAACATTATTTCTGATCAGCCCAATTCACACTTGTCTCGGTTGACTACTATTCCATTGTCCGAAAGGCGCTGAAATAATAGTGTAGAGTGTTGATAATACTCATCAACGTTTTGGTGATGCGATTAGCAGGACATGAATATAGACGTGAACGAAATCAAAGTCTCGTACTATGCTTTTGATATTGAGCTGTATTCCGTACTCCAAATGCCACTTTTAGGAACTCAGACAGACCGAAAGTAGTCGTGGTAGCGGTTTATTCGATATCTTCAGGAGCGACTGGGATATGTTGTTATGCTGGTACCAGATCGATCTTAGAAAATATAGTCGTGTCCTTGAGAGATGCCGTGATGTCGTGTATGTGGGGGATGGGGTATATCAAAGCGCGTAACTACGTTTAATGCTCGGTAGTCGCCGCATGGTCTCCAACTAACCCCATCCTTTTTGCGCACCATGTGTAAAGGAGAGGCCCAAGGACTGTGAGAAGGACGAATAATACCAGTAGATAGTAAATTGTCAAACTCACGTTTAGCGAAGCTAATTTGTCCGGTGCCAGTCGGCGTGGTCTTGCCGTGACTGGTGGTCCGCGGGTGACTATGTGGTGTACCACACGATTGGTCACCGATGAAATCTCCTCGAGTGGTTTAGTTAATCTGGGGAATTTCTCGAATAAGGCGTGGAATTTATCGTCACGCGAATAAAAAGTGCCGAGGATTCGGTACGCGTTTGTGTGAGCTTTAAAGCCCATGAATTTGCTGTTCGACGAAGTATCGATTAGCTGCAGCCTACGTGAATCGACTAGCAATTCATAGTGCTGTAGGAAATCAATACCTAGTATGGCTGTGGGAACATCAGCAATGATGAACGTCCACAGATACCGTCGTCGGTTGCCCAGGTTGACCGCGAGTTGTCGTGTACCGTAGGTAGAATTGCTGAGCCATTCGCAGCGCGTAGTCAAAGCATTGTAGCTTGTGTATTGCTGCTATCAAGTAATACTACACAATCTTGGGCCCCAGTATCCACTAGATACCTAGTGTTTGTGCGGTAATCGTGTACATAGAATAAACGGCCAACTTGGAGGGCAGGGCCCGCGAGTACGGCCGTCCAATGCTTCCTTTTCTTCAATGGGCGTCTAGCTTAGATTGATTCATGGATTGAACTGATTAAATAATAAATAGTTATTCTGGAACCATTTCTTATTTTGAATGTATTCATAGATAAATAATTCTAAGTGTTAAAACAGTCTATTTTGACTTTAATCAACATCAGATCCGTTACTCTGATAAATCTAACATTACGTGATCTACATCATCTCTTAACATAACCAGATCTGTGCATTTTCACACAAAAAACGACAATTGATAAATGAGTACAACTCGTATGTTTAGCTCCGATTCTATCGGGTTAACTTTGAACCCATTCAAATGACAAATATGTGTATTTTATGTTGAATTATCTTCTATTCGTTTAGCTATCTGTAATGTCGGAACGAAGAATAAATGCTAGGAGTTATTTTTGAACTGTTATAGCATATATTCTTATTGGGTAATTATTAAATAACTAGAATATAATACATATTCATATTCCTTTTATTATAAGCGTTCATTTATTCAATTGACTATTACTATACGATTTACTATTCTTAAGTTATTGCCAATCTACTAGTTACAGTCGTACACTTACAACCACTTGACCTTATAAGTTTATTATTTTTTTTCATTTTATGGTATGAAGCCGTGTTATCTGTATGCCTGAAATATGCGATCCACACAGCGGAGGATGAGATTGTGTTCTGGACTAAATGGGCAGGGCTAAGCACAAAAAGAAACGATAAGGATTCAGAGTTACCTCGAGGATCTTAGTGCTGAATGACATGCCATTGTTTTAGAACAGAGACAAAGTCATGAAAGTCAATATTCTAATCGGCGATTTTGTTACGGAATATTTGACAGGCCGATTGGAGATAAGATTATCCAAATTAATAGTTGTGTCAAATAATATTTACTAGTGCTGATTTCTACACAAACATTAATGCATCTGTGATAAAGCTCAAGTGAGATTACTCATTGAAACGTTAATGAAAACATTACAATTTGTCATAAGCTGAGATGGATGGTGACTAGCAGCGGAATCCAGGACGCACATTTCGTCTTATTTAGGACTCATCAGCTAGATGTACCTACATCTCAGAGTTGATGTTCGCTCCAGGATTCGAACAAAATACCGTTCATATCAAACGTCATCGCGTCATACACTTAACTAAGTGGAGTGAACATAAACTCTGGGATGCTGGCAGATCGTACTGACGAGTCGCGCGTCTTCGAGACAATCCGCACAGGATGCACATATGTCAATAAGAGACTGATCAATTGCAGTCTTAAACATCAATGGGTAGATTCAAGTAAACAATACCAAGCACATGATCTTTTCCTGAAATGATGTTTTATTCATCATGAAAGATGAACTGTCACTATTACAAGCCTAAATATACCCCCCCAATCAACAAAATTAATATTCAGTAAACCAGACAGTAATTTTTAAAACAATGAAGTTTTTAAAAAGAGGGAGTAATCTTTTAAAGACAATACATTGAGAGAAATGTCAAAATTGATCAATAATTTTATTCATAGAAACTTACCCATTAAATTTAACTCATAATTAGTTAATCTATCCAAATCAGGTAAACGTATCCAACGTGATGTGATCAAATAAGATTTCTTATCATTATTATTGTTATTATTGATAGTTTTAGTGTTATTTAGATCAGAACATATACGTGAAGTAAGAATCATTTTGGAAAATCCAGCCTGTACTAAAATTGAAGATAATTCTAGGTTTTCCGATGACAATGGTGAAGATGATGATGATGATAATGAGTTGAAGATTCTTTTGTCTGTTTCTATATTTTCAAATGAACTTGAATGAATTTGTTTTAAACTATGCGTTAATTTTTGACGACATAACAAAAGATAAGTGAGACGTACACGTGAGAAATATAAACGATGACGTGATTCCATAAGTGTATCTATATCAGTATAAGCTGGTTGATGAGCATAGACTTGGACTAAATTCGATAAACCTAGAAAAAGAATAAAAGACGAAGGACAGCAATGAATCATGAGTATACAGTGAAGCAAGTAATTCCATCTTGTAAGTCATTTGATGTTTTTTTTACAATATTGCTGGTTAAAAACATGTTATATAAATGTTGATACTGTTTTTTTTGATGGCTTGTCAGTCAGTAAGTTATATGCAGCGTAGAACCTGAAACATTTTTGCACTGACTCAAGTACATAATAATTGTTATTATAATCAACGAAATACACAGCTGAGTGACGCAAATTCAAAACCCATAAGAAAAATCAGTTTACGGAGGATTACAGCTACACCTTGAATGAGTGTCAAATAGCACTAGACCTAGATTCAATGTTTCTTGTCGACTGTTTCAAACCACGCAAAGTCGAGTTATTTAGACTCAAGTGGCCTCATTGCAAATTGGTGATTAGAATTATATCCACAGTAATACACGACTAGACAAGCATGACACTGACCAATAATCAGCGACCAATAAATGACAAACATCTCAGTCTTATAGAAGGCAAGTCATAGTTCAAATATCCCAGTAATAACAAATTAGATTGCACAATTGGACGGTATGGTTTCGAATATGTTGTGTTGAATGGTCGTCCGAGTCTGAAAACAATATATACACTTAGAATATATGGGCCGAATCTCCTAATTGAATGAAAAGATCAGTCCAGAAATAAATAAACAAATTCACTTATTAATATACATTATTCGTCAAGATTTAGTTTAAGTACACAAGGGTAACACAATTATGCAGTCGACTGAATATCCACCCTAATTTTCGAAGGAACACACATCTATGAATCTGTGTATAAATTTCGATTCCGTCTAGTTAGCATAATCTCGAAGGGAGCATCAATTCGATCTTTTTTTTGCTATGATGAGTGTTAATTAATACAAAACTATGAATGAAAGTTTCCGCTCAGCTAGCTCAAACCATTTAACATACAATATAATCATAACGATAACACAAGTTAAACTATTAAGAAGCATCCCAGACCTGTTAACTCGAGAGAGAAGAACAGGTTCAGATGAAGGAAATGTATATTCCACATGTACCCCAAAGCACGAACAACAACATGCACATAAATCAAGTATAAATATGGAGCATAAAATGGTCCTTGGGAAACGTCACAAAATAGCATAATAAAAGAGAGAACGAATCAATGACATATAGGGCCCTTCCAAGTGGAAAAAATCTGAAGGTAAAAATGGGTATTTTGGCGCACAAACGAGAAATTCAAACATCCAAAATAAACATTATTACTAAGTGATTTTTATTGATTTAACATCTCCAACAGTGCGTACGTGTTGAAATAACAAAGATAGAGGGAGGGACAGTATATATATTTATTTCAAAGTACTGAGTGTTAGGATCCATGAGATCTAAAACTACTATTACTATTATTAATCAACTTTAAACAGAAAAACAAGCGTTTTATTCTACTTATATTCAACTTCAGTATAATATAAAGAACTTGAAACAAGAAGTTATGATAGAACTAACCTCTTTTTGTACGACGTTCTTTTTCAATATCTTTAGTTAACATATCAAGTAATGTTAATATTGACGATTTAGTTAAACAGTGCTGAATTATTAAACGTAAGCTAACTGGTGATGATGACGATGAACTGATGAATTTTATGTGAGTATTTTCTTTGCCTTAAAGGGAAAGAGAAGCTGTTAAATTACAATACATTCGACAAAAAACACTTTTCAACTGCAAAGCTAATTTTCAATCGCGAACAAAAAAATAACTAGTGTTATTAGAAGTATGAAGCTGGTTATCACTCCCTGACTTTCGGATACACACGACCTTCCTGTGAAAAATTTGTAATATATTAGTTTCGTCTTTTAAAAAGCCTAACCACTGGAAACGGAAGTCCATGGGGTAAGACAAGGTATAAAATTTTTAGGATCGATCATATGTTATCTCTTCTTTCAATTGTGAGCAGATAGTATCGGTGTAGATTCTAAGAGAAACAACTTACTGCCGTCACACTCTAGTACAGTCAGAAGTACGACTTTTTTGCTTTCTTCAATCAACTTGGCTACCATAGCACCACCTAAAAAAAATTTTTTCAACAAACATAGCCCGGTCGAGTCATTACGATGCGCATATATTTTATAAAGACACCGTCTAATTTCGTATGATCGCCCAAGTCTTCGTTGGATACAATACCACCAGCTAACCTTAGTTTAAGAGCTACTGAAAACCAGGAAGCGTTGAACAGTTGTTTCGTACTTGTATGGGACTTTTCAGTAGTGCCCGTCCACGATTCCCACAAAAAAGCATCAATCGAACAGATGATTTTCAGGTTTCGTGACGAGTACTTAACATTCGTGATAATCCTAAATTATCTTCTAAGACTATCCGTCCTTATACTTGATATGGTTGATGCTATTTTTGAAGAGATTACGTAAATCGGGGAAGTGAACAAGGGATCAGCAGAAGAACGATAAACCAAGCTAAGCTATTCCCATGCGTCCCAGATGTAATAACAAGAGGGATCTATAGTCCCTAACAATTGGACTGTAGTTATCGAAGCTCCCGAATAGAACGCCCGGGAATTACGTCTTGAAATTAGTAATTAGTGATAGTATGGAGGGTTTGGTCTAGATTATGGACAACGACGAAGTCTAATTCTAAGACTAGGTAAGTTTCATATGGTTGTACAGTTAAGATCAGTCTGATGTAAACTACACAATCCAACAATCGTCACAAGTCCTCACCAATTATATTGCATGGGGATGTTAACGAAATAAACATACCGTTAACCTTCGTATATAATTATCAACTTAGTTCGCGTTAGTGAATGATAGAATGAAATAATTCAAATACGAGAATGAATTTTGGAGACAGATAATCAGCGAAACAAAGCGACGAAGACAGATGAAAGCAAACATGTCAACTCCATTCGATTAAACGTGACTCAATATTTGTGACCAGACAGAAATAGGTTGCAGACATGTGATGAATAGGGTAAGAAATAAACACACATACACTCAAATGTGGGCCTGACATACATACTACAAAATATGTTGAGATGTTACGTAGTGATTGAAGATGGTCAACAGGAAACTCTCAAAGTCAATGGATCGAGGATGAAAATCTGTCAGAAAGTACTAGTGTAGTGTGTGCTACTGATTTTGATAGCGATAACTAGTATGTATCACCAATCGAAAGTGGGATGCATGGCGGCAGAAGGTTGAGAAAATAGAACACAAGACAACGAGAACAGTGAGTGATTGGTATGGAAACAAAGGATTAACAAAGTCTGAGACAATTGATGGATATTTTGCAAATGAAGTATTACAGTACGTTTCTCAGATTTTACCAAAATATTCTGTAATGCTGTTCCCACTTGTGTCCTCATTCACTACACTAGCACCCTAAATACTACAAATACATCTTAAGGAGACAAGTACCAACTACAGAGCAAAAAACTCAAATGAAGCAGGATTTCCTGTTGATTAACTATAATTACATATTTGACTAACAAGAATGCCTAAAATTCTGTGATCAAATTTAAACCAAAACATGAAAATTTACTTCTGTCGACAGATGTTTGAGATTTTTTTCTACATATAATATTGAACGCCTGTGATTTCGAGGATGGATTAGATGGACTCTGACGGAGTTGATTTTGTTGTAGTAATACATTTTCGCATGGTAAATCGATAAGACGTTGAAGTGAACAACCAACATTCTTTGATTTTATAGAACTATCAATTTGTTTATTCACTGAATTTGTTGATTGTTGTGGTGATATTTGAGACAAATCTTCTTGATGATGAGAACGTTGTCGAAAATTTTGTAAATCTAATAATGGATCAGCTAAACTGATAGCATTCTATAAAATGAAAAAACTCAAAGACAAGATTCACATTTTATCTACAAACTAATATGAAAAGCCATTTCTTTTTACCTTCATTTACTAGGTGCTTGAGTATACGGTACTCTAAATTTGTGAGGGGTGATGTTACTACAACTCGGTTACCCAAACCGAAGAAGACAAAGAGAGTTTGGAACCTAGGACGAAGTGTCTGAAAGTTGAACGCCTAAATCACTATAAGATATAATGTCCAAATGGATTGCTTCTCGTTTTGATGAAGCCTTTTGACCTGAAAGCAAGCGTAATTGACAACTACTGGAAATCCAATTGATTGCCTCAATATTATACGTTTCATTTATAATATATTCAGTATATACATAAAGAAGGAATGTAAAATTGATACACTAACAGTATGATCACGCAACTGAAGTTGGTTTAGAGGTTTAGGCGAACGACTTTTCAGCTACTAAATGTTTTCGAGTTGGAGACCTGCCACATCTACTCTGGTCTTGGCAAACTGGTAGTGTCATTAGCCTCTGCACACTGAACATGTCTCATATTCAATTACCTGAAAAAGTAGTTGATCTAATTTTCCTAATAAAAAGCCAATTGGAATCAATATTTTTTCTGTACTAAAGAGGGATTCAGAGAAATACTACAGGATATCATTTTGAGAACGGAATATTGAAGAAAATATAAAAAATGATTACAAGAAGGCGAATGTTTTTCACAAATTTTAAATGTACATAAAATGAAAACAACAAAGATGAAATTTCCATAGTTTAAATCACGAACTGATTCTAGTTTAACCGCTAATTGAACACCGGGGTGCACTGGATGGGTGTTTCGCCCGAGTATGGAACTATTAGGAGGTATGCACTCCCGACTCCATGTCAAGAAATCACACCGAGAACTCTCGGTTTCGTGAGTGAACACATAACTTGAAGACCACAGTAACAGAAGGTTAAAATAAATGTTGAGACAAAGAGGACACATTTATTTTTGCAAACAGTTCAGACACCATCATTATGAATTGTCAAATATTTTTGCAGTGGGTAAACGAAGGAGTTTTTGTTGGTTTAAATGAATTGTAAATACTAAAAATTCATTGTTTAGAGATCATAGTCAATTAGATGTCTCAGGAATCGAACTTTTAACTTGTTTCACTATCAACACTTCAGAACTAGATTGGATTATTTGAAATGGTTTGGATTATCACGTTACTTATATTTTTGACTGAAATTTGATCAGTCTTGGTTGGCTTATAGGTATCAGTACGAATTGCCTCGACATAGCCATTACGATACAAGATGACATAGACTAGATAAAATGTGGCTAGAAATGGAATTTAGGATGCGAACTTAGTTTTGTTTAGGGCTCGTCAGCTGGATATACTTGGATCCCAGATTTAGCATTCATTCAGGCACTCGAACCGAGTACCATATATTTAAGACGTCATTGTGTTATCCACTTAGCTACCGAGTTCAAAATATAAATAACCATTTCAAATTCAATTAAATCTCACATCCGTTGCAAACGTTAGTGTAGCTTAATCAGAGGGATAAATTTCGGTGTTAACGTCAACACTGGGGATACAAGTAAATTGAACTGATGAGTCTAAAATAGGGCAAAAGCGAAAGTTTTCTCGGTTTACACTGTTATTAACAATTCATATATATCAAATTTGATACAAAATTGTTAGCAATATAGCATTATGCAATGAATAAATATGAACAGAGATAAAGAACAAGGTTTAAAGAATGGAAAATGAAATTTAATCAGTCTAATAATGCTTTGAAGTTGCACTTGTAATTAATTTACTCGTGTTTAGGCATAGGAACCTGAGAATGTGTTCAGAAAACTTAGTAAAAACCATTCTCTCTATCTTTGCTATATACATGCTACCGCCAGTACATGTAAATCCACAGTTGCCATTAGAAGGGACATCAGAGTGTTAGTGACCTATTTTTGATATTTCCATATTAATTCGACCTTATTTCTCATTATTCTGGGTGATTACGTAATCCATTATCAATTTCATTACACTTACATTACTTCTTTTATCTTGATTATGATTACTAGTAAATATAACATCACCTGGTTAGTGTTTTTAACCTAAGGGTAAACGGAAAAGAGGAAGGCTAAAGAACACACCGTGCCAGGAATAAGAAGTAGACATTAAAAGGATAAATAATAACTGGAAAGGATTGCCCAGGACTAAGTTCAATAATAAATCCTGGTCGGTGGCCTATGCTATTTTACAAGGGGTAACAGGCATAAGTAAAAAATAACTCCGCCTGGAGCCCCTCTGCGGCTACTGCCGGTCCGAAACTCGGATAAAGGAGGAGGGTTGGACATAGGGTTAGCGAACCGAACCCGTAGAAAACTAACTCGCTAAATAAACGCTAACAAGAAAAAAATAATTCAATCCATTTAGGTAATATCACCTATTCTACTCTACGTTACCATTACATTTTAACAAATAAATACACATCAATTTGACCCATGTGTTATTCATACATTTTTGGGTCCTTATTCTTCTAACAGCCTTCTGTGGGAGAGAACAAACCAGCTTCCAGATGAAGAGGAAATTTGGAAAAGACGATAGAAATGGATAGGACATACATTACACAAATCATCAAACTGCAAGTCTTAACTTGGAGTCCTGAAGGGAAGCGGAAAAGAGGAAGGCCAAAGAACACATTAGGTCGGGAAATAAAAATGGATATGAAAAGAATGAATAACAACTGGAAAGAGTTGGAAATGATTGCCCAGGACAGGGTTGGGTGGGGAATGCACGTTAACGAGAAGTAACAGGCGTAAGTAAGTAAAGTAAGTAAGTAAGTAAGTAAGTAAGTAAGTAAGTAAGTAAGTAAGTAAGTAAGTAAGTAAGTAAGTAAGTAAGTAAGTAAGTAAGTAAGTAAGTAAGTAAGTAAGTAAGTAAGTAAGTAAGTAAGTAAGTAAGTAAGTAAGTAAGTAAGTAAGTAAGTAAGTAAGTAAGTAAGTAAGTAAGTAAGTAAGTAAGTAAGTAAGTAAGTAAGTAAGTAAGTAAGTAAGTAAGTAAGTAAGTAAGTAAGTAAGTAAGTAAGTAAGTAAGTAAGTAAGTAAGTAAGTAAGTAAGTAAGTAAGTAAGTAAGTAAGTAAGTAAGTAAGTAAGTAAGTAAGTAAGTAAGTAAGTAAGTAAGTAAGTAAGTAAGTAAGTAAGTAAGTAAGTAAGTAAGTAAGTAAGTAAGTAAGTAAGTAAGTAAGTAAGTAAGTAAGTAAGTAAGTAAGTAAGTAAGTAAGTAAGTAAGTAAGTAAGTAAGTAAGTAAGTAAGTAAGTAAGTAAGTAAGTAAGTAAGTAAGTAAGTAAGTAAGTAAGTAAGTAAGTAAGTAAGTAAGTAAGTAAGTAAGTAAGTAAGTAAGTAAGTAAGTAAGTAAGTAAGTAAGTAAGTAAGTAAGTAAGTAAGTAAGTAAGTAAGTAAGTAAGTAAGTAAGTAAGTAAGTAAGTAAGTAAGTAAGTAAGTAAGTAAGTAAGTAAGTAAGTAAGTAAGTAAGTAAGTAAGTAAGTAAGTAAGTAAGTAATTAAGTAAGTATTCTTCTGATGTAAACGTCACCAACTGCATTATATATTAAACAATCGTTAATAAGTATATTAAGAATTGTAATTATGTATTGTATACAGCGGATGAGAAGCTATGAAATAGATTGATTAATTTCATTTTCCATACTTTAAACCATGCTGTTCTTGCTCGCTATTTTAATTTATCAAAAGATTTATTTGCATAAAATAAATAACAAAATAAATGTGAATATACATACAGCTACTTCATTTATAACAGCTTTCCATGTTGGTAAAGTATCATCTAAAGTATTACGATAAACTGTTAAACCATTAGTTAAACTATTTAAACGATCATTTTCTAATATTTGTTGATGATTAAGACACTGAAAAAGAAATTAATAATTATGACTTTATAATAACAAAGGTGTAAAGATAATAATGAAAAAGAAATATTTAGTGTGGGTTCATGAAGATAGTTGAATTTCATTTAAATCATGAATTGATTCATGTTAAACATTGAAAACCTGAAAGCACTGAACAGAAGTTTCGTTGGAACAGTGGATATTAATGATCACGTACATAGGAATCGAACTCAAGACCTTAGGTATCGCGCGCAAACGTTTAACATCTAGACAAGTGAGACAGAACACAACATGATTAATGTCTAGTCTCAATCAATCCACGACACAGTGCAACCATCTTTTGTTATCTTTGGCGGGTGACTACCTCACACCCAATACGGATTAGCTCAACTGGCCACGGTTTCCTACAAGAACTTCGGAAATTTTTTCTCCAAGCTAGTCACTAGTGAGCACGTAATGATTGTAAAGGGTTGTAGAGATTGTTGAATTTCATCGAAATAATGAACTGATTGCTTGAGGTTATCAACTTAGTGATCTAGAGGTTAAGTGTTTGCGCACGAGACCGTTTAAGCAGTTCAGTAGTACAACTAAATCCTCGCTAAAACATATTAACATAAACTCGTACTACGCGAATGAGTCACATAAATATAAATTCGAGGTAAGAAAATAGTCGTGTTGAACGTTTCCCTCTGTACACTGTAGTCTGAATTACTGCACAGAAATATAGCTACTGAAAGTAACCTAGACAAGAAATAACATTTGAACACACGTTCTATACTCCTAAACAAGCATTTCTCAATCTTAACTGGTTTGGATAAAGGGATTAAAACTCTTTGAATCTTTAGGAAAAATCATGATCGAAAAGATAAGCTACGTTAAGTGATTTACATATACGGAATTGCTTTACAATGACAGAATTTAAAATATATACATATATACAAAGTATACTTTCTCCCCATTCAAAAATTAAAATCAATTGTTGAATGCCACTAAAAAATGTAATGGGAAGAGAACAATAGTAAGTCTAAGGATTAACTCAGTCCGATAAATGTTCACCATAACGTTCGACTATTTTCTGACAACTTCTATGATGTATAAACCAATTATAGTATTTGTTTAGATTATTATTGTGTTAATTCGATCAATCAATGGCAGATCATCTTTTTTATTCTTTGATATTATGTGAATCAATGAAATTAAAAGTTTTGGTGATGTGGTGAGATAATCATAATATAGTTTGAGATTTACCTATTACCAGTACGAACTGCGTTGTTTGTCATGTTGAATGATTTGTGGATTTGAGTTAAACTCTCACATACACTAAATACATGAAAGAACATTGAGTTCAAGGGAGATATTGATGAGAAAATTTTGAAGAAACATCTAACGAAATCTTCGAGGAGAACTTTTAGTATTGCCAAGCTTCACATTATCCTTTCCAGACACCCCATCCTTAATGTCAAGAATACAATCTCACATTGGACCCTATCAATATGTATGTATAAGTTCATTTGCTATTGCGGAGCAGGTTACATAAGCCATCCAAAGCGAATTCTTTCTCAAAGCATTTTCTCATATCGTCCAGTAGACTATTTTAAATGTAAATTAGCTAGAAATACGATTGTACAGCCTGAGTAAATGATACATACGATAAATGAATTTTCTCTTCTGAGTTGTCTTAAATATGTGTTATATGAGTTTTAAAATGTTAACTTACTTTCAAAATTCTTGAATGCCAATCAATTCTAGCTTCTTCAGCTGACAAACATGTTCGATAATAGTGAGTTAGAGTGGTATTATAGGCGTCTTTCAACTACAAAACAAAAATTAACAAATTCAATATTATTAGAAGGGGTTTTGAGATTTTAATAATTTCAGTAGTTGAAATCATGAGTTAACTGAAGCTAGATCATTACAGGAAACCTGTAAGCACTGGACGGCCATTTCGCTCTAGTATGGGACTCCTCAGTGGCAGTGCGCATCCACAACCCCGCCTCGCGAGACCTATCGGTCTAGTGGAGTACCGTGGAGCGATTTCGTGGATTGTTTGAAGTTAGACATTAACACCGTTGGATGCCAGCTCAGTGGTCTAATACTTCAGCGCTCGTGCGCGAGGCCGATAGGTCCTAGGTTCGAATCTCGCGGGGGACGAAACGACCGTCCAGTGCTACTAGGTTTTTCATGGTGGTCTAGCTTCCATTGACTCACGATTTTAACTATTGAGATTCAATATTATTAAAATCCAATTTTAGTTGAATAACATTCGAAGAAATTTGTGTACTTATTAATCAACATGGTGATATTGACAGACAGATAAACAGTAAAACAATCGATGATGACGATGTTGATTATTACAACGAAAAATGTAAATGGAGATGGACGGTGGTTAGCAGCGGGATTCAAGAAGCGCATTTCATCTTATTTAGGACTCGTCAGTTTGATCTACGTACATCCCAGAGTTGGTGTTCACGCTATAACTCCAATCTAGTACAGTTTGCTTTAAACATCATCGTGTTATCCACTTACCTACTGAGTTCAGATAGCCATTAGCTTATGTAATGGGTTGAAATTTAATTCACTTTTGTATTGGTTGTTTAAATCTTCTGATTGGTATTTAGGACTGCAATTGAAAAGTCTCTCTTTCCCCAGCTAGCCACCACCTATATCTGTTTATAATGCTTGCAACTTTATAGAGATATCGAGGTAATCTTCATAATTTGCACATATGACTAAAAGAGACTGGTCAGTTGTAGTTTTAAACATCAATGGGAAGATTTTTTTAAAAAAACACACTAAAAATCAAAAAGTGTAAAAAGATACTTGTAGATATGGAGTCAGAGTGTAAAATAAGATAAAATACTTTTGATGAATATTAGGTCGTGTTCATCAAAGATTATCCTTAGCTGAGATAACATTGAAAACTACAGAGAGCTGACTAGTTACTTTATTCTAGGATTGAAGTTACCATTAGGATTTTCTACTAGTAATAACCTTATCTTAAAGTATACTGACATCAAAAAAATGTTATGATGTACTGACGAACAAATTCATCTCGTTTATTATTCAATTGTCAATATTTCATATAAGTTAGCTTATATGTGACAGTGGATTCATTTAAATCCTCATCAGGCCAGACAAAGACAATACGCAGTTGTAACTTAGCACATATGGTTGACAGTAGTTATATGGAATATAAAACAAGATCATTTTGATTGAACATAAATATTGGTACAAGAGGACACCAAATATAAATGTGCCACACAAATTTTCATTTTATTTGTGCGTGGGCTGTGATACAGCTCGGATGCCCATACCGAACCAGGTGGTTTTCTTAGGGGGCCACACCCCGAGCCTTCGACCTAATAGTCTAACCCACAAAGCCGTTGAGCATCGTGAGGAGATGCAGTCCCATGGTAGCCGGTGACCAACGATTAGTTCATATGCCATTCGTTCCTTCAGGATACTGTGCACCATTGGTTTGAGACCCGCTTAAAGCGCCGGACATTCGCTTTTCGTCTTCTCATTTTCGTAAACAACACCCCCGCCACGAGAAGTCAGTGAGTAGGACTTCTCTGGCAGAGGCTATGTGCGCGTGGCTATGTGATAGCATTTTGAGAGGGAGAGCGGACTGTCCTCACTCTCGGCCGTACCAGGGCATTTGGGGGCAATGTAAGTTCGAATCCTATCCAACTCAATAAAGTATAAACAGCTATGTAATATCGTCAAACTTAATTTGAAACGCATAGTATACGTTTTTGCCTCTTAGAGTTACATTGAGGTATGGGGAAATGTAAAGGAAGGATGAAAAAAAGACGGTACATCCCATTACACTCTTCAAGCAACGTAGACAGAAAACTAATATATATATATATATATATATATATATATATATATATATATATATATATATATATATATATATATACCAACTCTAATGTACTTCACAGTGTATCTGAGCTACGTAGTTTCTATGGAAATGGTAAATAAAATTTCAAATATCGCAAATTGCATTAACGATAATCAAACGGAATGATAGGGATGAAACAGATCATATTTCCCCCAAAATATTGTAAGTTTTATGTTTAATGTCGAATTATGTTTATCTGGGTATTATCTGTGCAACTATGAAAAAATCTGATCATAATTCACTAAATCGATCACAAAGACCTTTTCTAAATATCTGGATGGTTATGAGGGCGATCATCGATTTCCTGTTGCCCACATCGTGGAACAATAATTGATTTAAAAAATCTCGTTTAAGTGTCGTCTTGTCAATTCGGAAACTAGAATGAACAATACTTGTGTAGATCAGAGTTTTCTTGCTCAGCTTGCATACCATAGAATTGTGTCAGCTAATACATGCTGATACCTCTTCAACTGAAGTATATTAAGTCATCTCACACGAAAATAATTTCTTCTGAGTTGATCGGTTTCAGCTTCACGAGGAAGAAACCAGTACAACACGTTTAGAAAATTCCTACATAAATGTAGTAAATCCGCCAGATCTATCAAAAATTACTTTTTTGAGAAAAGAGATCGTAGGTCAATAGAATTTAAACAATACCTGTCAACAATAGATTAGCTTCTACTCAGAAGAGTCATGAGAATAGATCAGTTATGAATACTCATGCTATCTGCAATGAAGCTGAACTACTGATAATATAATAAATAAAAATATTCAGTAAATAAAAGACCACCAAAAAACATATGGATAAGTATGCATATAAGTTATCAAAGTGTATTGGAAAAAAAAAACTTCAAACCTTATCCATTGTTAAAAATTTTCTTCCATTTCTCGACGACAAGCTGCTATGATATCGAATAATATTTGGATTTTTCTTATGAGGTAAAGAAGTATACAAAGTACTGGATCGTGAAACAAAACATGGACTTGTAGAACTATCAGTATCTTTAAAAAAGAGTAGATTTGATGTTGTTGTGTCATATGATTCAAGAGTTGTTGTTTTTATTTTAGTGTCAACATCAATAGAATTTCGTCGAATTGATAAATAATGTTCGGATAATAAACTATTATTTGTAGAGTCCATAGTTGATAGACTAGATGTATCAAATCGATTCATGCTTAAACTACGCTTTTTCTGTATATCATTATTTGATTGAACAGTTTGACTTAATTGTTTTTGTTGATCCCTTGATTGTATATGATAGTTGTAACACACACGTTCATAATTACGAAAACATGTAAATAATTTATGTCTGGCATGGAATTCCATTTCGTACGAAGAGAATAAATTATTTGTTTCTTTGTCGACACATTTTTTTAGCTTTGAAAAAATAAGAAGGTAGAGAAAGAAATTAACTAAAAACGGAAGTCAATATGAAATAGCAGTAGTAAAGAAATAAAATGTATTTTGATAATTAGTATGAAAGATTTGTGGAGGTAGTTCAGCTTCGTAGTTTACATCATGGACTGATCTTAGACAATCATTGGAAATCACGAAACATTAGGCATTTGTTTCGTCCTGGTGTGAAACTCTTCATTAGTTCACATTTAAGAACCGATCAACAGGAATTAAACGCAGGATCTTCAGTCTGACACAAAAACATATACCCTCTAGACCCCTGAGCCGGCGACTAACAGTATACAACTTTCAATCTAATCAATACATGGTTGTGTAAATATCGTCTAATCGTACACGTCATGTAATTAGTGAAGCAGTTGTCGATAATAACAATCCGTCCAAAGTAATCTTTTAGTTAAAACGGAGTAATTTATATGTTATTTTTCAACCTGACTTATTTAGACTGTATTACTCAGTCAGTCAGCAACAACGTAGAACTTCGTACGTACGTATATCAATTCGAGTTGCCATACCACATTAGAACAGAGATACAATCGTCAATTCAAATCCTGTAGTGGTAGAGGCAGTAAAAGTATAAGCAATAATCGGAAACATTAGGGTTTGAAGTTGTTATTCAAGGAGTATAATCCAGCAAAATAAATTTGTAAAGAGAAAAAAATATAGATGAAGAATTCAGAAGATTAGAATTTGGGAGTACACAACTTCATCAATTGATTTGCCCGTTTCCTAACAACTGCATTACTTGCTCGGTGGTCCCAGGACATACGAGCAATGCTTCGAAGACACCAATGATCGAATACTAGTAACGTACGAATATCCTCTACTGTTACCGACCATATTTCACAGTCATAAAGTAGGACAGAACGAATTATTGTGCAGTACACACGTCCTTTGGTCGGTAGACAGATATCTCGCTTACGAATTAATGGCAGTATATTATAAATACATCAATCAAAGCTTTCACTAATCTATGCTTTTCTTAGTCCCTTTTTGTCATTAAAAATATGTTTTACTGATGACCTTTAGTGTGACTCAAATGATCTTGACAAAGGGCAATTTTTAACCAATAAGAATACAAGTGATAGTGATGAATAAAATGTATTACACAAATACATACAAAGCATAGCAGTTTAGATTAACTTCCGGATTCAGAATTAGGAGAGTTAAGTCAGATCTAAGATTTAGGGTTAAGAGTTCAGTTAGGAATCGGGAGTACTGATCATAAATCAAGTAGACGAATTCTTTGCAGGACTATTAGTTCTTTGATTTAAAAAAAATCAAGAACATTCATGTTATCTTAACAAATTCATAAACCATGTCTTCATTCTTTAAGCTTTTCATCAAATTTAACCATTTTAGTAGCTAAATATTGAAAGCATTTACCTAGCTTTCATTAGAAAACAGGCTATCAGACACTGAATTTAGCGCAAAGATTCAAAAGAGGCCATCTTAAATCTTATTATTTTGTTAATATAGTGTAATTTTACCATTTATTGTTTCGACTTGATATGTTTCAAAACTGACTACAAGGCAAAATAATTCTTAAAGAGAGCAAGAACGAAGATTCACTTTATTTCATTAGGTTCTTATCAACTGTTTACAACCTAAAACATTTGAAAATCAACGTTATTACAGATATTGACATACTTATATATACGAGAGTGATTACAAATGAATATGTGTATCATGATGTCGCGAACATTTCAATAGAATTAATCAGGTCATTAAAATCGTTTGTTTCGGATAAATAAAGTTTGCCGACACTGGGAATGGTTGGAAAAAGCGGAGAGGTGGTCAGTGTATGAAATGGTGTCGTGGTATGAAGGAAAGCTGCAAAGCGCTAGCTCCTGTTGGACCTTCACAACTCACTGGCTGGTGTCCGAAAGATGGTGCAGCACAGTGGCTAGAGACGTTATCAGATATGGCTCAGAATAGAAGCCAGTTGAGATCCTGCTGTAACCTTCTTTTACTTTCTTCATAAAAAGTGGATGTATCTTCCTTAACTGAAAGAATTTTTCTGGTTGTACCTTTTTGTTTCCCCCATTATTATTAATATTATTATTATTACTACTACACTACCTTACAGTAATCTGTGGTCGTTATTGTTCTCTTTTTTTCCTTATACACACCTTACCTTCTTTCTTCTCTTCCCATTCCCATTGTTTTATGTGGTGCATACATATTTGGTGCCCCCTTGTACAAATATTTATGTGTTCAGATAAATAAGATAAATTATTACCACTAATCTATTTTCATTGAGACTATGAACCGAGTGATGTTAGACCACCGTTGGAAACCTGGAAGCGCTAGACGGCCGTTTCGTCTTGTTGTGGGACTCCTCAGCAGTGCGCATCCATGATCCCGCTTGCAGGATTCCAACCCAGAGACTCCAGCCTCGCGCTCGAACGCTTAACCTACTGGACCACTGAGCCGGCATCCAATGGTGTTAATGTCTAACCTCAACTAATCCACGAAATTGCGCAACCATCTTTCATTGTACTGAGGTAGATACCTGCCTGTACCCGACACGAATTAGCTTCACTGATCACGGCTTCTCACTAGAACTCTGAGAATTCCCTCACGAAGCTAGTCACTAGTGAGCACATGTTAATTATAAGTATAGGGATCTCAATCAAAAACTTAATAATCTCCACAACCCCTATACTGGTAATGTATTTTCAGTTGCTTAATTACACCATCGTCTAATGTTTGTTAACTCCATGAGTTCTAATCACTATTTCAATGTTTTGGAACTTAATCTCTCAAACTTTATTTATCCGAAACAAACAATTGAAATTTTAGCTACTTCATGATACACATATTCATCTGTAATCACTCTCGTATATATAAGTATGTCAATTTCTGTAATAACGTTGATTTTCAAATGTTTTAGGTTGTAAGCAGTTGATAAGAACCTAATAAAATAAAATGAATTCATATTATTCTGTACTAATCTTCGTTCTTACCCTCTTTAAGATAATAAAGGGAACTATATGTATGAAATTTCACAAAATAATTCATCTATATGATACAATATAGATAGGATTGTGAACAAATCTTTAAAAAAATTTCAATAGTTGAGATCATGAGTCAATTTAAACTAGATCATATCATGAAAAACCTGAAAGCACTGGACAGCCTAGCTTCAATTGATTCATAATCTCAACGACCCCAAATGCCCTAGTACGGTCGAGAGTGAGGAGAGTTCGCTCTTCCTCTCGAAATGCTCTCACATGGCCACGGGTATATATATATATATATATATATATATATATATATATATATATATATCTGGTGCCTCCTTGTACCAGCATTTATATGTTCAAACAAAACAAACATGATCTCAACCATTGAAATGACGATAATATCCATATAAAACTCTTCAACTATTAAGAAACCTAATGTTTCTAACCTAGAAACAACGTAAAATATTATCAAATAATGATATGAATATAGATGTAATACTTACTGACTTTTTGTTTCTTTTAAATGCTTCAATTAAATTATTCAATGGTTTAATTAAATCATTTAATAAATTTTCAACAATTTTTTCATGTAATTTTGATTCGATTTCTAAAGCATTAGCTATTCGTAACCAAGCTGTATGAACTGTGCTATAGAAAAATAAAAAATATATATATAATAGACAATTTTATTTTATAAGTGTGCATTTTAAAGATTAACAAATGCAGGAGAAAGCAACCAGTGTAGCACCAGTAGGTCTTAACATACACAAAGAGAAAATCAAGATTCTCCAATACAACACAGCATACACCAATCAAATCATACTTGATGGAGAAAATTTGGAAGATGTAAAAACCTTTATACATCTGGGTAGCATCATTGATGAACACGGTGAATTTGAATGAGATGTGAAGGAGTGAATCGGCAAAAAAAGAGCAGCATATTTACAACTGAAGAACATCTGGAACTCAAAACAACTGTCCACAAGCCAACACCAAATTCAGAATTTTCAATACAAATGTCAAAACAGTTCTACTGAATGGGTCGGAAACTTGGAGAACTACGAAAGCCATCATCCAGAAGATACAAGTGTTTATTAACAGCTGTCTATGCAAAATACTTCGGATCCGTTGGCCAGACACTATCAGCAACAACCTACAATGGTAGAGAACAAACCAGATCCCAGAGGAGGAAGAAATCAGGAAGAAGTGCTGGAAGTGGATAGGACACACATTGAGGAGAGCACCGAACTGTATCACAAGGCAAGCCCTCACATGTAATCCTCAATGCCAAAGGAAAAGAAGAAGACCATTATATCGAGAAATGGAGACAGACATGAGGAAAATGAACATAAATTGGATAGAACTGGAAAGGAGGGTCCAGGACAGAGTGGGTTGGAGAATGCTGGTCGGCGGCCTGTGCTCCATTGAGAGTAACAGGCATAAGGAAGTAAGCAATTTAAAGATAAATATTGTACATTTAAGAGAAAAAAACAATTAACTAGATATGTGTAATGTGAATAAGTTTTAACAGACAAATCTGAGAGTTCATTTTAAAAATTGATGTTACTAGAATGAAGTCCCCAAATGCTCTGGTACGGTCGAGAGTTAAGAGACTCCACTCACCATCTTGAAACGCTCTCACATGATTACACGCATACAGCCATTACCAGGGAAGCCCTACTCACTGCCTTTTCACGGCGTTTATTACTGATGAAATTGAGAGGATGAGAACCGAATGTCCGGCGCTCTAACCAGGTTGGTAAAGGATCCACCTAGGGTAGTTGGAAAACCCTGATTCCAAACCAATGGTGCACATAAAATCCGAGATCCTGAAGGGACAAATGGTGTATAAACCTATTGTTGGTCACCGGCTACCATGGGACTGCATCTCTGACCATCGCTCCACTGAATTGTTGATTAGACCTCTAGGCCAAATACTCAGGGAGTGGATCCCTAAGAAAACCACTAGCTTCGGTTCGGGCACCCGGGCAGTATTCTAGCCCTCACACAAATCGAATGACTTATGTAGTGCATATCTACTTGATGCTTCCTTGTACCAATGTTTATGTGCTTAAATAATAAATAATAATATGCGAAATGAAACATGAAGCAAACTGAAATCTGATGATTATCTAAAGGAAAATATCAAGTTGTTGAAGAGAACTCAAGTTTATACACTTTTTCCTGTTTTTTATGGATCTGAAAAAGAAATTAGATTAGTAAATATCTTGTTGATAGCAAAACATAAGGAACAACTGCTTAAGATCAATCCTCAACGGACATTTTGTGAGCAGTTCGTGATGCATCAACCTGTGATTTTCAGGCCGGTGATGGAAATCCATGAGGCAGGGCAAGTTGACTTATTTTCAGGATCCAATTTCTCTAACCTTTGTCTTGTGTAATGGGAAGGTGGCATCGTTGCCGATACTGGTTTTCTGAGGAAACATCCAGAACAGTGGACAATACGACTTCATTCTCTTAGACCTTCGGTAACTGAACTAATTCTCAGCACTCTAAACACTCTTAAACGACTGATCTAACGTGAAAGGCACTGAACAGATAACTGTTCAAACCAATATACCTCGACCGGATAATCACAATAAGCAAACCTGACCACTATGCCAAGCTGGCAGAAATGATTGAAAATGTTAAAATTCCACCACTACTTGACATTTAATGGTTTTTTAGACGATGTCAGTTTGTTGAAAATGTGTAATCCTTAAATACAACATACAATGAAGTAAATCAATCTTGATTTTACATATCACTTCAAGGTTATTTTCATCAGGTCAATTTTAACGCCTTTTAATATACAAATTCTTTACAATAATTCACATTCTTTAAATTTTAGTATATTCCAGTCGTGATAATTGTTCAATCCATCAATTTTAATTATTGTAACTGGAATGTGAATAATGATTCTTTTTGGAACTCTATCAATTAAGTTTTCATACAGAAAGTAGACCTTTCATTCTGCTTGCCCTCAAATGCCCTGGTACAGCCGAGAGTGAGGAGAGTCCGCTCTCCCTCTCGAAATGCTCTCACATGGTCACGCGTACATAGCCTCTGCCAGAGAAGTCCTACTCACTGACTTCTCGTGACGGGGGTGTTGTTTACGAAAATGAGAAGACGAAAAGCGAATGTCCGGCGCTTTAACCGGATCAAAATCAATGGTGCACATGGGCTCTAGTATCCTGAAGGAACGAATGGCGTATGAACTAATCGTCGGTCACCGGCTACCATGGGACTGCATCTCCTTACGATGCTCCACTGCCTTGTGGATCAGATCTTCAGGTCAAAGGCTCGGGGTGTGGCCCCCCAAGAAAACCACCTGCTTCGGTCTGGGCACCCGAGCGGTATCACAGCCCTAACAAATAAAATGAGCTTTGTGTGGCGCATATCTATTTGGTGCCTCCTTGTACCAATATCTTTGTGTTAAAATAATAATAATAATTCTAGTTAACAGATCAAAGAAGAAACAAATCTTATTCACTTTACTAAAGTTGCGAAGTAGTGACTTAGAGCATAAACATTATATATATAATGTGACATGTGGTGTCTGATATCTTGATACTGATATACACGAGACCAACTAGCTATTCCTGTGGAAAGACTAAGAGTGAGAAAGTCTACTAATTAATCGAATCGACATATATGTATGCTCAGATATACATATTGACACATATCTTTTGAAAAGATTAAGCCGCTATTTGTGTATATTTCACCCTTTGAAAATGTGTCGATGTCCCAAAAAATCTCACGGTAAAGACCCTGGAGGCCCAGAAACGTCAGGAAACGTCTTATTCTATCAGTGTTGAATAGAATCTTTGCGAAAAAAATCTATAAGAAGCAAGATTATGGGCCTTTATTTTGATTACATATTTATTTATAATGCTAATAAGTCTAATGTCGCGTGCGATTCTATAAATACCCTCGTCTTCTATAAATAAAAGAACTCTAGAGTAAAGCTTTTAGTCAAGATTCGAGCTTTCACTCTAGCGCTCCAGTTGACGTGTAGAAGTAGTTGGGGATATCGGAACCGGATAGGAAAAAAGCCTCGATGTGTCGATAGCGAAACTTATTAAAATGAAAATTATTTCTCAGCTAATCTCGAGCACTTATTATCTGGCCGATTTCTAATCGACTGAATGTATCAATATCATATTAGGAAAGCGATATACTGAAGAACTATTTGAATTTCATAGTACTAAGCTGTGTGTGGTATTTGGACAACAGAATGGTACCATATGGTTCTACATAGATTACTTTGTATCAAATATGTTTTATTTCTGAAAATAGATGGTAGTGAATAAGAGACATTACTGTACTGTCCAGGATGTGTGAGCTTGATTAAAATCATCGTCTATATTTTGTTTATTGCCTACTGTACTGGTCACATAAAATCGTAGCCTCTCCAGTTACATAATAAAATAAATAAGTAATTCTTCTTAATAGGCGAAAAACTTTTTATTTCATGTGTATTTTTATACAAAAATTACTGGATGTAGTAGAACTGAAGTCTGGCTATCAGCCATTTATCTGAAGAACTGACTACAGAAAGAGCGGATAAACTCGGAAGTCAAAAGCTTGAACTCAGGTGAGAAACTAAGTTATCCTTGTACAACAACAAATACCATACACAAGTGACTATAAGACAGCATATATAAATGACCATTATCTTTTAAATGTTCATAGTTGTAAATAGTTGAAGAAAGCAAGATGGTTATTAATTGTATTTTTGGAAAACTTACCCACCCGTTGTTTTTGCCAGAGCATCACGTAAACGACCACTTAATCCTGATAGAGCTCGTGAATAATTCGACTGAAGTTCACATCTATTCTCCAAAAGAAAGCGATAAGAAAAATTGTACATGAGGATATCCCGATGGAAAAAAATAGTTGTATCACCTGGAAATACCTCTGAATAGTTAAATTACGTAATATTTTTCATCATTTACGGACCGCTAGAAAGTTTAGGTAGGTTATAAATCAGAGCTATTTTTACTTTCGATGGTGTTTTCGAACTATTGCCCGAGTATTTTGGGACCACTGAGTGAGGAATGGTGAGATCAGACGAAAAGGACTAGGTAAGTATGATGAGTCGATTTATGGGGCAGTGGATCTTTATCGACTGAGATCGTTAGGGAATGTACTAGGTATCCCCATTCACTGGCTACCTAGATGAGAGATGATGTCTGATGTAAGAAAGTTAGCGATGCATGATACGCTGAGTCAATCAAAAGTCACCAAATAAGAAAGTCACGTTGCGGGAATCCCAAACCTGATAAGTGCATATTGTTGGCCAAAAAACTAATTTTATTTTCTAATGAGAAGACATATATATTCATCTACTTAGTTCAGTTTAGCCCAAAAAACTTTCTCCTACACTCTTCTTCTCACTCAGTAGCCAGTTGGGGGGGGTATGTATAGGAAGTTTGTGTGTTAGTATAAGACTTGGACACCGTGAGTCATAAAAATGCCCGAACTAAAAGGTGGCATCCGTCCATGAAAAGTGATTGTTCAACAGAACCATGTAGATAGGCGCAGACGACCTGGTTGGGATTTGTGTGATTATCGTAACCAATGGTCAGAGACTGAGTGACATGGATCGAAATTAGTCACAGTGGTGCAGACATCTTCACATTTTATCTTCTCTTAAACTCTAAGCAACTAAATTACCATGTAAACTATTTTGTATTCCATGAATTCATATTTTCCTCTTGAATCAAATCTCTGCCTAATCTTTTATATTACTACTACTATGGTTACTAAATCTACTTGCTTAGAATACGACCTGACAATTATATTTGGTTGTCCTAATGAAGTATAGTAAACTGAATCGACGTACAAACGTGCCAGGTTTTACGTCCCCTATAATTGGCTGACTGACTGATGAATATGTGCTATATTTGAAAAGTGTTTGCAAAAATAAAGGTGATAATCACATGCATTAATTTAAAAACAATCACAATAAATAATTTTGATTTCAATAATAACTTTTCGTATTTAATAGTGACAAAGCAGACAAAACAATGCAGTGGTCTATGACCAGGCTTTAAGTAAATACTTTTTGGAAAGAATATTAATTAACAATTAACCATTAGAAACCAATGAGCTTTTGGATGAATGTTTAAGGTTCACTTAGATAATTGAATAAGACTGAACACATAATAGAATGATATTATTTATTTACTTAGTTACAATCTACATTTTCCACATCATTCTGATTAAATGTAGTGTAATCCTTAATTACTGTCATTGAAGTTGTAACCTTATCTCAGTTTTAATCGACTCCATCAATGTTCATTTTTAATTAAAACTGAATAATTCATCCCGAAGCTAATTAGTATAAGCCATACACCAATACTTATCTAGGTGGCCTATGGAGACTTGGCGAGCTTGGAAGCAATTTTTTACACATTGACGTAAACTAAAAATTAGGCAGTATCGTTAATGAGATAAGAAACAGAAATTTCCTAATCAGAACGCTTAAAGGTGTTGTACGCAAAGAGAAACTAATGATTTAGTTCGCTGATATAGGAATTGTTTAGCAAGCTACTACACAGCATAGACAACTGTGTGGAAATAGCATGTTTATTATGCAAGTTAGCACGTGAACATATGCGGATATACAATGAAGGAATACTGAATCAGTGATGCCGCTCTGTTGTGAAAAATTAATCTTTAGAAAGCACTCGGCGTTTATGAGTAGATCACGTCGAGATGGATGTGTTTCTTTCTTTAATAAAACAACCAAGTGAAAAATGGTGGAACAGAAGGTAAGATACCGAAGAGGTTGATTGCTGAGGTTGTAGTAGCTGGGAGATTTGTTATCTATTCTCAGCCACCCCTACCTCAACAAGCAGTGCTGACTGAAGTAATGGAAAGTTGAAACAACATGTACATTCGTACCGCGCTTACGGAGATTATGATCGACTGACGCCAGAATATTTTAAAAACTAAAACAGTAGTTCAAAAGTAGATTACGAAGGTCATTTGAACTGGTATATAAGCTGCAAAATATATATGAAATAGAACCATAGAGCGCTTACTTCTCTTGGAATATACTCATCACACACTGAGTAAGATACATTCCTTGTTTATACTCTTCATATTGTTTATCGAATCCACTTCGATTCTTGTGAATAAAAATGGAAAATGTGTTGGTAAATCATAATGTTAATGACATTATTAATGTGATTAACAAGAAAAACAGATCAGCGTAAGAGGCTACACTAACTTTCAATAATCGCACAGGGAAAAAATAAAGGCTAGAACGGAGTAACGATTTAACTTCACAACGATAGAAATTTTATTGCTTCATTTAGATTGCTCTTTTAGATAATCTACGCCTCATAGACTTCGAAACTAATTTCGAAACCGAATTTCATATTGCTTACGAATGAATTTTTACAACAGGCTACTAAGAACGTGGATACATTACTATTTCTTACAATTTTAGTTTAAAGTCGAATTAATGTCAAGTCACCATTTTGATGTCGTATAAAGGTGTTCGATAGCATACATTATTAATGGTTTCCGTATGTGAAAACTGAACTCCCATTACGTGTTCACTGTTATTATCCTTAACCTGCCGTGGTTTATTAAATTGTGACCAAGTATGCATCACTTCAGACTGGTGATATTTCGAAGCGTGAACCATGTTTCTGCTGTTAAAACGTGAACTCGCTATCACTGATCGTAACATTAAAAATAAGTGATTTCAGTGAGACCATAATTTATGAAGGACCTTTGAGCTAAGCTAGACTGATCTTGAGTGTCCACCTAATATCTATGACCGAATGAGGGTTCTACAACTGTGTGCGGAGTTATAATTGTTTTACAGTTGATGATTAACATTAGGAATTAGATTTCCGGTTTTTATCACGAACGGACATGAGCTATAATGGCAAAACTGTTTAACCTAATTGGATGAGTGAATTTCCCGCCAATATCCGAGGCCTATAATCAAACACCTTATTGGTTCGTCCATAAATTATAGTCTCGCAGTGATTTCATATTTCCAATTTAGATCAGATCTGACCTGCTCTAAATCCGTTAAAAAACCCTGCAGTGAATTGTGACAGGCTAATAAATATAGAAATGCAAGTTGTCAAATGGGGAAACAGAAATGTCTGGGAATTTCTGTTATTAGTATGATGTCCTAGTCGACATGTTCATTTTGTTGATTGCTAAGGATTCGTGGCTAAACAGGGAAAAAACGTGAGACAATGAAATCACGAGACAAGATTAGATGTTTCTTTTTCTCCATTTAGCTACAATGCATTGTAGCTAAATAGAAACCATGATTTCTATTTAATTATCGTATAGATCCTACTGATGGCAGAGCAATCACGCAATCCCGAGACTTAGGATATTTTTATAACGTTTATTAAAAATAATATTCCAAAAAGAAATTAAATGAATAATAATTTATACGCAGTTGAATTTGCTGTCTTTGTTGGTAGGGCTCATGTCTAACATTATAGATTATTAGAAGAGAAGAACCAAAAAACATGCGACTTCCTTTGCAAATTTATGAGAAAATCGCTTACTAGAATGTCAAATGGGCGATTAGTGTTCAGGAACATATGTTGCAAATTTCGAACTTGGAGCTATGACATCCGCGGCCGTAAAGTATTTCTGAAGGTCAAAGTAGTTTCAGTTTTTGGAGAGAGAGCTAGAAAAACAATGATAATTCGGTATTGGCGACTGCAAAGCCCATCTAAACATTTTGCGAATAAAATAATAAAATCGTCCACTTCAGTAGGATGAGATTCCATACTTAATATCTTTGTCGCGAGCTTGTTTAAATCGATTGATTTGTTTGCTCTTGTTTCTTGCTGTTTCGGTAACGTTTTTAGTATTTCAGTGGATGTTAGTCTGTTCATTTGACTGCACTTATTCTTGTCATTTTGATAGGCATCTACAGATTCGTATATCTTGTAGTTTGAGAGAGTGCATTCTCCTCATAGCTGCAGGGTTTATGGATACCAGCGGCTGTCACATTACCAGCATGGAGATTGGTTGGTTGCAATCTGAAGGTAATAAAGTGATCATTTGAGTGCTAAGAGAACTAATAAATAAGTGAGTTATTGTTGGCTGAATATCGTATGTAGTTTGAGCTCGCATCCACTCCTTTTGTGGTTACTAGCAGAAAATCAGGCTTTGAGGAGACAATGGGGAGTTGATTTTCAGTTGTTTGTGTCAAATGAAGCAGAATCCTTATAATATGATATTTTGACGAGTTAATTTTTGAACCATTGTCTACGGCTCATTCCTCTGTTGTTGTAGGTTCTTTTTAAAGCTCATGTGAATAATCTTGTCTTTTTATGGAAATCCATGTATTTGCGCCATCTGCGAATTCTAGGGCGTTAACAAAAACCAAGTACATTGTGAAACTCTTGATGTTGAGACTCTGTATTAGCTCTATTTATCTTGGTATAAAACATTAGGCTCTGAAAATAGTTTCAGTGTCAGAATTAAAGTGTTTCAGTAAAATCCATCTTTAAAACCTTTGCTATGAGAAGTGGAGAGAAACTGTTTAAAAGACTTTCGAGAAATCAAGAAATATAGCATGAACCGTTATCTTATGGTTCGAGCAGGTCGTTCAGATTTTTCACGCTTTGAGTAGAACAGCCACACTGGACAACATTTTTCTGGACACTCTTTGAGCTTCGTTATGTTATTTTAACCAAGCATTCTTTCATTTTTTTTCATTGACGAACCTGTCATTACATTTGACAGTATTGGGAGTAATAAGACAAGTACGTAACTGGCTGGCCGTTTTCCATATCTTTGAGGCTAGAGAGAGTAACCTGCTTCTTCTCACTTAGAATTTGATAGGAATCTAGTGATGTACTAAATAGGTCACCCAGTAGTGTTCTGATGGCTTCCATGCACTGATTTAGGATTATAGATCGGATGGTGTCACTTCCTGGCAACGTCCTTGGGTGCGGAGAACTAGGCCTATTTATTACTGGCTCCAGAGTTGGTTAGGTGTCTTCCAGATCCTCAACTGGCACTACAGTTGAGAGGTGTTCTACAGTTATTGTTGATCTAAGAAGTTAACATTAAAGGTATCTTCCAGGTGGGATTTTCTTCATTGACCCCTTCACAGTGCAGAATCATAGGTTTGTGGGCTTTCTTCTGGTCAGTAGTCTATCGAAATATCTGGGTTTAGCCTTCATTTATCTGTTAGCTTGGCCAGAAAACATCTCACATGAGAGCGGAACTTGTTTTTGCATTTGTTTTTCAAGGAAAAATAGGAGCTTTGATCCGAATATTTCAATCGCACTAGGATCTTTGTTTGGTCAGTAGCAAACATGCCGTACTTCGCTTATTCCAGTGTCTTCGTCTAGCCATTGTGTATTTTGCCTCAGATACATTATCGTCGATAGCATTTTGCATATATTCTCTCACCATCCCGCGCCGGTCATCCACTTTGGGCCTCCACCACTGTCGTGGCCAATAAGCGTGTTGAAGTCTCTCGCTCGTCGTCGTGTAGCCTGCTTCACCCAGGACAAAGTAGTGATAATTCTCGTCGCTCCGAAGCATTTGATTTATGATCACGCTAAACATGACTACATCTGTGTTACTTCATCCTACTGGTGCATGGAACAGGACATCCGCAATTATAAATTGATCAGTTATCAGTTAATAACCTCAGTTTGAGGTTTTTTTGTACTTGTCTCATTTCGTAATGCAGCCCGCATGTTCATTCATTCCTGAACTTCTATTACTGCTGCAAGTTGCTTATCAAACCACTGTGCAAGGGTTGTGTCCTGTCTAGGGCGTTGAAGTCTCAAGTTGGTAGTATGTGGTCAAACCCTATGTATATTGGTTTTGGTATTTCATGTATTATCTCATCTTTTTGGGTGCTAGGGCCAGTGAAGAGCCGATATATTCCTTTAATCAATTACACTATGCTGTACACATTAAAGCAACGTCAAAATGATTATATCGCCTTGACCAATTCAGTACTAAATGGTATTACGGCCTTGAAGTGACAGTGTTGTTTATTGCCACTCCTCCTGTTTTGCGTACACTTTCTTATCAGAAACGTGTTAGGTCTTGCAAGCCCACTTCTCTTCTGTATTATTCTACAATACAGGTAGTTTAGGACGCTTTTTTATCTTATTTATTTTTTGCATACTAGTATGACTAGGAATAGGGACCTGGGTCGGATTTTTATCTCAATTACTTAGTTGAAGATTTGGTTCAGCTGTTTGAATTGAGCTATCTGTTTTGTATATATTACTTGGAGACTTTTACTGGTGTTTTTTTTGAGATTTCTTATGTTCTTGTTGCCAGGAGTAGGATTTTTGAAGTGTTATTGACCTCTTAATAGACACAACTACCTCCAATATTCTTCCTTGTTGTTATACTGTAAGTACTGGTGGCAGCGCTATTACTGCGCATGTTGCTCAATGAACTTGAGGTGAAATGTTAGACAATTTAAGAAGTGAGATGAAAGTTTCGAGGGAGAAAAACAATAGAGTCAAGTGAGTACATGCCACAAAAGAATAGGAACTGAAAGACACAAAAAATGGTAGCGTTATTTTTGAACATTCTAACAAGCGGATTTGCACGGATCCTCTAACGTAATCACACATTCCGTGTTGTGAAGTCAACAGATGTGTTTAGGTTTCTGTTGAAAGAACTTAGAAGAGAGCAGTCGACTGAGATCGCTGGCGCTACAGCACCATAGTTTGACCCTGATATTATTATTGCTGTCGAATCTGTTTTGTGAGGGTGAAGGCGCACTTTGTGTCTTTTGAGGTGCTGAAATATCTCAGTACGGTAGTGAGGAAGTGAGTGTTTCATAATACCAGTCAGAAATCAAAGAGGTCACACCAGACTTCAATTATATTAGACACTTTTTGCCTAAACAGTCGTGGAGCTAAAATGACGAAACGTGGAGGGTAAACAGTGGTCAAGGCAAAAAAGCGAATTAATTGGATAAATAGATGAATAAAATTTTTATCAACGATTACTTGCTGACGATGACAAGAAGTGAGTGCGATAGGTTATCAAAAAATGGTCGCAGTTAGATTGCGAGAAATGCACCAAACTAAGAAAATATTTTCAATGTTTTCTATTATTTGATATAGGTAAAAAAAATGTCAAATTGTGAGTGTGTTCATGGTTGCCACTATCAATACCTAAGCTTCCTGTTTGCAAGAAACCCAGGTCACATTTTGTAGAAGTGCTAGAAGTTCATTGACCACAGAAGAAGTAGATGGTGTAGTGCCTTTTCGAAGGCTGAACATCAAACTTTTACTGTGCATTCACTTGTCAAGTATGACGTAGTCTCTTTAGAGCTTTGTAGTGACCTACTTTTGTCAACAGAACGCGATTGGTTCGATGAAAACAATTATTATTATAACCAATTGTACCAGTGACTGTTTTACTGTGCTCGTCTGTTTAACTGTGCTAATAACAGCCATTATACTTACTCTCCCGTTGACTTCGAACTTGTACGAATCCGGTTACGCTCAGTAACCACGCTTGTACTCCTTTGGCACGATCTCGGTATTCTTTCGATACCACGAGATCGCCAACAAATATATACGACTACTACAATCATTTGCCTTCTGATATTTTGGCCTATCGGAATTTTATTGGTCTATTGGCAAGTAGTCTGGTAGCGGTGTTCATAGTTCAGCTCAACTCGACACCACGCTACATTTGGTGAGCCAACTATTGGAACACGCCTCAACCTCGGTCAAATCTTTCAAAGAAGGCAATTTGGTGAGTCTATTGTTTTATCTATCCACGTCTGTCATATATTTTCATATTAATTTTTAATATATATTTGACATGACGGATAACGATAAGAATAGTATTAATATAATAGACTCCGATGTACGCGTACCGAATCCTCGGCACTTTTTATTCGCGTGACGATAAATTCCACGCCTTATTCGAGAAATTCCCCAGATTAACTAAACCACTCGAGGAGATTTCATCGGTGACCAATCGTGTGGTACACCACATAGTCACCCGCGGACCACCAGTCACGGCAAGACCACGCCGACTGGCACCGGACAAATTAGCCTTCGCTAAACGTGAGTTTGACAATTTACTATCTGCTGGTATTATTCGTCCTTCTCACAGTCCTTGGGCCTCTCCTTTACATATGGTGCGCAAAAAGGATGGGGTTAGTTGGAGACCATGCGGCGACTACCGAGCATTAAACGTAGTTACGCGCTTTGATAGCTACCCCATCCCCCACATACACGACATCACGGCATCGCTCAAGGGCACGACTATCTTTTCTAAAATCGATCTGGTACGAGCATATCACCAGATCCCAGTCGCTCTTGAAGACATCGAAAAAACCGCTATCACGACTCCTTTCGGTCTGTTTGAGTTCCTACGAATGCCATTTGGATTACGAAATGCTGCTCAAACTTTCCAAAGGTTTATCGATAGCATAGTACGAGACTTGGATTTTGTTCACGTCTATATTGATGACCTGCTGATCGCATCATCAAACGTAGATGAACATTATCAACACCTTACGCTATTATTCCAACGTCTTTCGGATAATGGAATAATGGTCAACCCAGAGAAATGTGAGTTGGGTAAATCAGAAATAATATTTCTGGGTCACA